AAGAGGTAATCAATAATATCAAAGCCAATGTAAGAAGCTTAAATTGGTTAGGATTAGATCCTCTTAAAATATTAGGCGCTAGTCAAACAGCGAACTGGAATCTAGTAGCTAAGTGCCTAGGAGAGATATAGCCAGGAGCTTAGATGGATTTAAATTATCGTAAAATAAGCATTAAACAATATTTACATTGTTTTTAAAAGTAATACAATATTTATAAATAATGTGAGAATTTAAGATAAATACGGTGGGATTTTTAAAAGAGAAAATAAAAATACATACAAGAATAAAAAATGAAAGACATGGGTTAATAAACCACCAAAAAAAAAAAAAAAAAAGTGGGGCTAGACGCAAACCAACCCCTTTAAACCCAATACCAAACAGAGCTCTTCTTCTCCGATGTCTGCTAATCTCCATGTCATGGCTATGGTTTCTTCTTCAGCCCATCTTCTTTCCTCCATCTTCTCTCCCCCCGCCCCAACCTCTCTTCTCTGTCTTCGTCATTCCTCTGCAAATCCAACCAAATTATCGCCCTTCCTCTGCAAATTTGACCAAGACAGCAGAAGGGCTGAACCAGCGCTCCTATGCGTGTTTTCCGGCGAGGGGAGGGGCGGCCGCCACTCCTTGCCCTCACGTAGCTTTGCCACTGAGTGCCTAAACATGCATGGAAGACGATTAAACGTGGTATGCAGCGTATGACACAGTCTCAATTATCCGTACATTACAACAATAATTGGGAATTTATCTTCATACCAGCCAAAAGTTGAGAGATTGAAAATGAAGAGCTGGCTTAAAATGTTGGGAAAACCCCAGCATCTGAGAAAAAAGAATAAAATAAGTCATTCTATTTCAATAACTAATCGCTTGTTGACAGAACCAAATGAACAAGCAGAAAAAGTTGCATATACTGTAACATCCCACATCGCCCAGGAACTGATCCTTAAATGTATATTCCCATCCCTACTTAGCACGAGGCCTTTTGGGAGCTCACTGGCTTCGGGTTCCATGGGAACTCTGAAGTTAAGCGAGTAGCGCACAAGAGCACTCACAGGATAGGTGACCCATCGGGAAGTTCTCGTTTGAGTTCCCAGAAACAAAACCGTGAGAGCGTGGTCGGGGTCCAAAACGGACAATATCGTGCTACGGTGGTGGAGCGGGCCAGGGAAGTGATCCGCCCCGGGCCAGGATGTGACATATACCCTGATGCTCTAGTTACCTGTTGTAAATAAAGAGGTAGCACAGCGCTATCACCAGCAATACAATGCAAGTTTGTGGAACCCAAAGACACCATACTTTCACATATGTATTCCGCAAACTCAACATCGCTTTCATCGATAACCCCAGTACCGGGGCTAGATCTGTACAAAAATTCTTTGGAGACATTCATCAATATTTGGAAGATGTTACTCATTGCAGAATCAAATTCAGGAGCATAGGTATCATCAATAGGTCTCTTCCTGCATGTCATAAATCAGGATAATACAACTGTTACGGAAATGTTTTAAGAAGGGGGGAAAACATACTTTATAACTATCTCTTATATTCAAAAAGCAATTGAAAATACTATATTTCATACCTTTGGGAAACAAGTTTGAAAAACTCACAAGCATGAGGAAGAAAATCAGGTGAAAGAAAGTAAGAAACCACACCTGTGCATGCAGACAGAGAGAGACTGAGGAGTAAGAAAGAGACACTTGCCAACAGCTTCAAATCAAAATCCACAAAAACATCAAAGTAGGATACCCATGTACTATACCAGATTTAACAAGATCAGGCAATGGAGCCCATTCAGAGTATGCATTAACAGCATTTAAAGTAGCTGTTATTGTTGCTGCATGTTGTTTTGCAAGGTCGAATTGTTGTTATCCTGCTTCACTCAACGCAGATCCGAAGTGCCTCTTTAGTAACTGCACATTTTAATTCGTTAGGACAAACCATTGCATACACACACACACGCCCACTCCACTCAATTCACAGGTAAGAGTTAAAGAGTGCACAAGACACAATTCTGGTTAAACCTTCCAAATCTTCATTGTGAACAGTAATATCTTCAGGAAGCCATCTTAGCGTCATGGGGACTAACTCAGCCTAGTATTAAAAAGGAGTAGGTGATTACCAAAACCATGTTTTAAATGAAATACAGAGTGAACAAGGAGGAAAAATATTTACTTGAATAGGACCATTGTAGGATAATGAAAGCAGAGTTGGAAACAGTTCTTGTCATAGATTGAGAGGAAAACTAATGAAAAAAGCTTGAAAACTTTGAGTCTTGACGATAAGGACAAAATAAAGGGTAAAGTGAATAGTATCAGGATTGACGTTTTAGTGTAAAAATATAGTTTTTCGTTAAAGTGAACAGTATCGGGAGTTTTCCGTTAAAGTTCCTAGATTTAGTTCTTCCCTTCTAAGTTCTAACCATCTGTAACTGATCAAAACAAGTGAGTGTTACAATGGAAAACTAACCCTTGACAGTTTAAATAGTCAAGAGAAAAGCAGTGGAAAGAAAGAACGAACCCACTGTCTGTGTCTGGAGGGGAGAGAGAGTGAGATGATGATCGAGGGTTTTCTGCAACGGAAAGAAAGAACCCACTGTCTGTGTCTGGAGGGGAGAGAGAGAGAGAGAGCTATGAAATTTTTTAGTGGCAGTTTTAGAGAGTGCTCAGTGCTGTGTTTTGTGGCGGTTTTGTTTTCTCTTTATTTTTTTAATTCTTTTTCTATTTTTCCCTTCTTTACTAAGTTTTGCAGTTGCGGATTAAGTCAGTTAACAAACTATTTGAGTCTCAGTTCTTTTATATTTTTGTTTGCATTCCATTTTCCGCAATGAATCCAACCGGAGTGAGTTAGGTTAGACAAGTTATGCCAATTTGTCCGTCCTCTTAAATTAAGTTCGAACCCTATTTTTGTAAATTAGAGAATTTTAAAATATGATTGGTTAAGAAAAGTGGGAGCTGAGACATTTCATTTTGTTTATTTATTCTTACTTTTTGGGTTTGGGGTTTCTTAGGACGTGTCATCTAAGAAGAAAAAAATAAAAGTCTTTGTTCGAAAGATAATTAGCTAGATTTCATGCCATAATTGTCCGTAAATTATACCATTTCTCTCTTTTTCTTTCAGCCTTTTTCAATTAAAAATTTATTAATAAGGGTCAACATTCTTTTTAAATTTTTAGGGCAAAGAATTTGGGACAAGGATTGTCTGTCCTCTCACTTCCGGTGCCCTCCCGTGCCTTCCTGTTTGTATGGTCACGGTTAAACCACGTCAACATTTTATATTACTATTTATTTTTGTCTTATTATCTCTATAAAAAAAACAATATAAAATGTTGACGCGGCTTAACCATGACCACACAAAACAGGAGGGCACGGGAGGGCACCGAAAGTAGGAGGGCAGACAATCCTTGTCCAAGAATTTGTTCTTTCTTTATTTCTATTTTGCCTTTCTATGGTTGCTTTAATGGAGGGGTTATTTTGGTTCAGTTTCAAAAATAGTTTGAATTATTTTACTGTAGTTCTAGTGAGAACATATCTGAAGCACTTTTTGGGGCATTAGTAGCATAAGCTGTGACAAAACCAATATCTATTTTCAATTTTGGTTCAGTGAAACAATGTCTGAAGCACTTCTTGAAGCATTAGTAACACCAGTTACGATAATACCAATATTTGATTTTTAAATTGAACATTGACTATTTCTTAAATCGAATAATGTTATTATCGCTATTCTTTTAACTGAACAAAGTTTCCAACTTTTATGAGCTAAAACTAGCATTAGTAGATTCAAAAGTACGAAACTCTGCAAACAAATCAAATTTACATATAAATAGTTATATTTTGTTTAACATCGTCCAAAGAATTGCCAAAAGATATGGTGACCAACATGATCTAACATCAAATAATTCCACAACTTGGTAAGGAAATAGAATTCCCTATTAGTCAAGGAAGATCGTAGTTATACAGTTTAAGATAATTTCCTTCCATCCATAGAAGAAGTACAACTACTAATACCAAAGCATTATATACCAAAAATGTATTTGATATCAAGCATGCAGTTTCGTGACAAATTTCTGAAGATACCTTCGGAACATGGCTTCCTTATCTACGAAAAACTATCTTACTCTCTCGATATCCCAATTAGGAAGGAGAATACCACAAAGATACAAGTGTCATTTGCCGTCCAAGCCCAGCAGCTCCAGCTTTCGGCTGCCGGAGTCTTCACCTTCATCATTAATTCGATTGGAGAAATTCAATAACAAAATAAAGAAACCGTGAATTGAAATCAGGAACGAAATCAGAAATATGCAAATCTTTCAAACAAGAAACCGAAACGAGAAGAGAGCGTACTATTTGATAGGAGAAACTGAGCTCCAGAGGCTCGATACTGAGCCGCTTTGCCTTGCTTATCGGATTCGATGATTCAATTGATTTGTGAACCGGTGGAATTCGGATTGAAAATGAAAAAGAGATTGGGCGGAGAGAGAGAGAGAGAGAGAGAGAGAGAGAGATTGCAAAAATGGAAGAAGTGAAATTGAATCGGAAATGAAAGCAATAACAAAGAAAAGATTTTTATTGTGACGGAAAGACAAGTGGTACATCATGTGTTTTGATAGAAGTGGTGGAAAATTTTATTTTTTAAGTTATTAAATTTTTAGCATACATATCCCACTATTTGTATAGTGACACGTGTTTACCACTCTGTACACCGATCACATTAAAAAATCTCTCGAAAAGATGGAAGATCGAGAAAGAGAGAGAGACATTAAACAGAGAAGGGCATGCCGTAAGGGCAAAATTGAAAATTCATTGTTTGGGCTATTTTGATTGGACTGATTTAATGTTGAACTTTGTCGTAACCATTAAATAAAGTTACCAAACCTATGATTTTTTAATTCACATTCAACGTTTTCAAGTTATTTTTATTAGGTTCTTTATAAAGATGTCTGCCCAGCAATAGGTATGGCAATTATCTCTGCCCAAAAGTGTAAGTAACAAACATGGAGATTTGCAAACTGATTAAATTACACACCGAATTTGAGTAGATATCAAGGGGAAAACACTGATAGGCCAGTTGCAACACTGCGGTTTGCAACATGCTAACATATCTCGCTGGTTTATTAAATGATATAACACTTAGTCACACTCAAACAGAAAACATTACAGACACGACATTGTGATCAACAAACCTGGAACATCCCGACTGTTCAATAGCCGGCATTATCAGGTCCCTAAGGTTCGCACGCACAGCACCCACAGCAAGGTTCGCATCCACAGCACCCACAACAGCTCTGAAAGAAGCCCCAGCAGGTCAAAACATTAGACCTGCAGCAGTAACCCCAAGATGATAATAACTTAGAAAAAATTTTAAAACAATAATAATGTAAGCACACGGACATAAAACCACTCTTATCCTAATTTTGCGTCGGACATAATTTTACTCGTAAATAAGAGTCTGTTTGGTACTTTTATTGAATTCAACTTTTTAAACTCAAAAACAATTTTCAAGTTTTAGGCTTTAAAAACTTGTTTGGTATAACTGTTTTCAAAAACTGAATTCAAGACTAACTAAAAAATATAGTCTATTATCTAAAAACACAAAAAGTAAGGGGCATGTTTGGTACTCTATTTGAATCTAACTTTTTAAAATGAAAAACAATATTTAAGTTTTAGACCTTAAAAACTTGTTTGATAGAACTATTTTTAAAAACTGAACTCAAGACTAACTTAAAAATATAGTTTATTCTCTAAAAACATAAAATGTGAGTTTTGAGAGTTTTTAAACTTAAACTCACTCATTTATTTTCTCTCTCTCATTCTTTCTCACTCCAAATCTATCTCTCTCTTTTATTCTTTTTTCTCTCCTTTTTATTTATTTATTTATTTTACCTTTTTCGTCTTTCTTCCAATCCGCTCTCTTCATTCTCTCGGTTCTTTCTCTCACTCATTTTTTCACCTTTTTCGTCTCTCCTCTAATCCGTTATTTTCATTCTCTTACTTCTTTCTCCCACTCCTCTTCCTCTCTCTCCTTTCTTTTTCCTTTAATTATCTTTTACTTTCTTTCCTTCTTTCTCCTGCAACCCCCTCTTTTTAGATCTCTTTGTCTAGTTTAAGTTGTAAGATTTAAAAATTTTAAATCGTAAACCAATCAAGTTTTTGAGTCTTCATGTTTTCAAAAAATGTTTTGAAAAATGATGAAAATTTTCAAATAAGATACCAAACATGCCCTAAGTTTTTAAACTTAAAATCACTCATTTCTTTTCTTTCCCTCCTCTCCTTTCACTCCAAATCTCTCTCTCTCATTCTCTCTCTTCTTCTTTCTCTCTCTCCCTTCTCTTTTTTTTTTTTTTTTTTTTTTTACCTTTTTTGTCTCTCCTCCAATTTGCTCACTTCTCACTTCTCTTCCTCTTTATCTTAAGAAATGTTTTGAAAAATTATAAATTTTTTCAAATTAGACATCAAACAAGCCCAGTGATTTCTGAATTTTGCCAACTCACCACCATGTCATCACTGCGCCACAGCATGTTAGCGCTGCGCAAAAGAGTTTACGTAAGCCCAGCGATTTCCGAATTTTTCCTCCTTCCGGCCGTCCCCCTGTTTTTGTCATTCCTTTCTGGTGATGTGATCTCTCTCTCTTGATCAAAGAAGCACTGTGGTGGATATATATTCTACAGCTTCCTTTGCTGAAATGCTGTTGAGATTGTATTAGCTATATATAGCGGAGCCAACCGGTCCTGACCCAAGGTTTCAAGATCAGGTCCTTAAGGTTTATTGAGTTTTCATCTAGAATTTATTCTTAAGGACAAATATACCCTTAGAATTAACTGGAAAATGTGCTCGTGCTTCACTGCAGGTGCTAAATGTATTATACACGACATGATTTCCACACAAAGTAACCAAAAAGGTGGTCGAAACGGTATCACATCCTCAAGAAGCATTACCCAGCAGCAGAAGCCATGACAAGAAACGCTTCACCTAGAAGAGTGTTCACCACGAAGTAAAGAACCTTCTCTTTTCATATTTTGATCTGTCAATTCTTGCAAAGACTACAAGCAAATGAATGATGTGGATTTGTCAATTCTTGCAAAGGTTAGGTGCTGTCGCCAACATATGCCATTCAAAATATAAGAGATTCTACAGCTGCAATTTCTAATAAAAAATACACTCAGTGATTTAATTTAATTCCATATGACTGGTACTACTGAATGCATGAAAGTTGTGCATACACAAGAAGCACCAGAAAATCAAGGATGTATCAAAGAAAATAGAGTCACCTTCATGTGAGGAAGAACACTTGTGTCAGCAGTTTTGGCTATACGAATAAACGATGTGCAAATTTGCAACCTTGCACACCGTGCACTACTTGTAGATGGATCCTGCTGAACAATAATATGATTTCAAAGATTATTAATGACACTGCCCACTGCATCTGGAAAATACTTCAAAAATGAACCCATTGCATCCAAGTAGTGCCCAAGTACTTCCACACGGGCTGGCTCAGTCCACTTCAAAGAAAGCAGCTGCTGAAGCAAACCTTCAAGTTAAGAAACAAGTCATGTTAAGAAACTCAAAATATAAAAATTCTCAAGCTCATATAAAGAAATGTTTAAAAGTAAACCTTCAAATGTTCTGCATAGTTCAAGTTGAGCTTCAGAATGACCCCCGGCAATTTCATTTGATCCATCGAAAATAATGCTTACAACATTTTCTAAGGCCGACTGCATGCTTTCCTACGTCCTGGAATTGCACAGAGGATGGAGAGTTATAAGAATCACCAATGCAAGCAATACTGGAGTGCTGGAAACTCAAAAGATAGCAAATTGAACTCTGAAAAGTGCTTGTGACCAAACCTGAGCAGGCATTGGAGAAAGCAAGAGGCTTTTGATGATTGTATCAATTCTTTCAGAAACTTAAGATCCAGCTATAAGAGGCATGTATAAAGCGACCAACTTGATCAGTTCTAACGGCATTAAGATCATTCATCAGGGAAAGAAACCTTTGAAAAACGCAGGCCAAGGACGGCCAGGTGAACTATTCTCAAAACTTCTAGTGTAAACCAGAACAAAGAGAAACTTCTATAAGATGCAAGACAGCATAAATGGTCAACATGAAAAGAAATGAGATAGATTTCAAGGTTACTTTAATGGATCCTCTACTCTAAATCACAATTACTAACAAAGTCAAGGAATGTACCCATCCATCCATGTCTCTGTACATGGATTTAATTATTTAACACAATCCTATCCCAGAGAAACTATAAATGTCGTACGAAATTTTATACTAACTGAACTGAAGAAGCATGAGCTAATATACAGAAACAAAAATATCCAAGTTCTAAGAACTACTTACCAACTTTGAACGATACTGGCCAAAAGTCCCCTTGTCCTCATCGTCGTCACTCCATAATTCCAAATGCCCTAAAGAAAATGCTGTTCCGTGAATTAGTTTTTCTCTCTTGAGCATGTGTTGGAAAGATACATCCAGAATCGCACTACATATATTATCATTCAAACAAATTAAGATTTTTCTCTTTTCAATATCGATCGGATCAGAACCATCTCCAGCTGAGTGAGCAACAGCCTTTAGCATTGACATCAAGTCTCTCATTAGTGCCTAAACATGCATGGAAGACGATTAAACGTGGTATGCAGCGTATGACATTGTCTCAATTATCCGTACATTACAACAATAATTGGGAAATTATCTTCATACCAGCCAAAAGGTGAGAGATTGAAAATGAAGAGCTGCCTTAAAATGTTGGAAAAACCCCAGCATCTGAGAAAAAAAGAATAAAATGAGTCATTCTATTTCAATAACTAATCACTTGTTGACAGAACCAAATGAACAAGTAGAAAAGAGTGGTAAATAAAGAGGCAGCACAGCGCTATCACCAGCAATACAATGCAAGTTTGTGGAACCCAAAGACACCATACTTTCACAAATGTATTCTGCAAACTCAATATCGCTTTCATCAATAACCCCAGTACCGGGGCTAGATCTGTACAAAAATTCTTTGGAGACATTCATCAATATTTGGAAGATGTTACTCATTGCAGAATCAAATTCAGGAGCAGAGGTATCTGTTTGCTCCCTAAATTCACCATGGGCCTCGCGGGCATGCCGGGAATTTACTCAAACATGAAATTGGTGGGTGCTGGCGTGCCATTACTAGATGCTCGCAGACAGAGAGAGACCGAGTAAGAAAGAGACACTTGCCAACAGCTTCAAATCAACATCCACAAAAACATCAAAGTAGGATACCATACCCATGAACTATACCAGATTTAGCAAGATCAGGCAATCGAGCCCATTCAGAATATGCATTAACAGCATTTAAAGTAGCTGTTACTGTTGCTTCATGTTGTTTTGCAAGGTCGAATTGTTGTTATCCTGCTGCACTCAACGCAGCTCCGAAGTGCCTCTATAGTAACTGCACATTTTAATTCGTTAGGACAAACCATTGTATGCAACTTCTTTTAAAATTTAATAAGCAAGACATACAGTGTATAATAAAGGCAAAATATCAGGTAAAGATTGGGTCAGCCCACGCAGCAATAGCCTTCTCCAATCTCCTGTATTAACAGTTAAGAATAAGGGTAAGGCCGCATGCAGCAATCTAAATCTAGAGAACAAGCATTGCATGCACACACACACACACACACACACACTCCACTGAATTCACAGGCAAGTGGAAAAGAGTGCACAAGACACAATTATGGTTAAATCTTCCAAATCCTCATTGTGAACAGTAATATCTTCAGGACGCCACCTTATCGTCATGGAGACTACTCAGCCTAATATTAAAAAGGAGTAGGTGATTACCAAAACCATGTTTTAAATGAACTACAGAGAGAACATGCAAGGAGGAAAAATATTTACTTGAATAGGACCATCGTAGGATAATGAAACCAGAGTTGGAAACAGTTATTGCCATAGATTTAGAAGAAAACTAACGAAGAAGGTTTAAAAACTTTGAGTTTTAACGATAAGAACAAAATAAAGGGTAAAATGAACAGTACCAGAATTGACCTTTTAATGTAAAAATATGATTTTTCGTTAAAGTGAACAGTATCGGGAGCTTTTCGTTAAAGTTTCGGGATTTAGTTCTTCCCTTCTAACCATCTGTAACAGATTGAGTGTTACAATGGAAAACTAACCCTTGACAGTTTAAATAGTCAAGAGAAATGCAGTGGAAAAGAAAGAACGAACCCACTGTCTGTGACTGGAGGGGGGAGAGAGTGAGATGATGATCGAGGGTTTTCTGCAACGGAAAGAAAGAACCCACTGTCTGTGTCTGGAGGGGGGGGGGGGAGAGAGAGAGAGAGCTATGAAATTTTTTGGTGGCAGTTTTAGAGACTGCTCAGTGTTGTGTTTTGTGACGGTTTTGTTTTCTCTCAATTTTTTTTTAAGGAAGTGTTATTGGCAATTCAAAATTTTCATTTTACACTTCTTATAAGTGTATTTTTTTTTTTATAATATAGAAAGTTTAGAGTGTAGAATGAAATTTTTAGAGTGCTAATAACAATTCCTTTTTTTTAATTTTTTTTTCTATTTTCCCCTTCTTTACTAAGTTTTGTTGTTGCGAATTAAGTCAGTTGACAAACAATTTGAGTCTTAGTTCTTTTATATTTTTGTTTGTTTTCCATTTTCCGCATTGAATGCAATCGTAGCGAGTTGGGTTAGACAAGTTATGTCAATTTGTCCTTCCTCTTAAATTAAGTTCGAACCCTATTTTTATAAATTAATGAATTTTAAAATGTGATTGGTTAAGAAAAGTGGGAGCGAGACATTCCATTTTATTTATTTATTTTTCCTTTTTGGGTTTGGGGTTTCCTAGGACGTGTCATCTAAGAAAAAAATAAATAAAACGTCTTCGTTGGAAAGATAATTAGCCAGATTTTATACCATAATTGTCCATAAATTGTACCATTTCTCTCTTTTACTTTCAGCCTTTTTCAATTAAAAAAATTATTATTTAGGGTCAACATTCTTTTTAAATTTTTAGGGCAAAGAATTTGTTCTTTCTTCATTTCTACTTTGCCTTTCTGTGGTTGCCTTAATGGAGGGGTGATTTCGAGAATTGCAATTTCTTCATACGTATTTTACTTTTTACTCACTTGTTAATTTTTTTATATTTGATATTTTTTTATTTTATTTGACCTAACGATCAAAATTAAAAGGGATAAATGAAGAATAAAAAGAGTTGTGCATAACACCACTCAATTTCAAAATTTCATTTGACCTTCTGAATCAACTCTTGGATTGGTTAGATAAAACTCGAGTTGACAAGCAAGTGCTTACCGACACCTCATTTGATGAACAAAACTTGACGAAGAAGTTTGACATATATAAAATTGGAGAAAAAAATAATAATCAAGATGAAGATATACATAATAGAGGCAATTTCTCTCACCAATCCACCATCCAACAAATTGAAAAATGAACAAACAAACAAACAAAAACAAAACGATATCTCGTAAATATTGGGAAAGAAAAAGAAGGTAATTGGGATTATAAATTTTTTTTTTTTAAAAAAAAAAATTGTATTTACCCCTGCATTTCTAATGAAACAATTACACTGTGCTAGAAGAAGCTGGGGCTGATATGCTCACTCCGGCACCAAATCCAAACTCCGAAACTCAGGATTGTACAGAGGCATCCAACATTTCGTGATTACGTTCCCGAACATCGGGAGTTCGTAATTACGTTCCCATCGTATGAACTCGCGTTCAAGCCACACTTCTCTTTCCTCTAACACGAGCATCGTGATGTTTCTCTCTATGGTTTCCTGCATGGGATTTTGAAGTTTCTCGCCCATCTTGTCCAGTATGTTTCTTCCGTCTTGGACCACCGGCAGAAGCAGGGTCGACCAACGGACCTGACCAAGCTTGCAGTGACTCTTTAGGGTAACTGAATGAGGTTGTGCTGAAAGGAACGTCAGGAGGAACAAGGGAGGGATCAAAATGATGTGAAGATCCCAAAGGGTAACCAACTGCCCCATCCTGGTGCGGTGGAGGAAACTTTTCGCTTTTGCTCTTTGCATTTGCATGCGTAATTAGGCGCCTTCTCTGTTTCAGAAGAAAACTGACGTGTTAACATACTTATAAATCGAAACCTGAATCAAATAACTAATGCCAAAGTCGGCCAAATGGTCATTTCATGTGTATGCATATGGACGTCAAGTGCACTAAATCGAAACTCATTTATGTCTGCAAAACCACACAGGTTAATCTCATTCACATCTCAGCAGTAATCTTTAGATAAAGCTAGACCGCTTCTTTTTCATTTATCATTTTGTAATGGATATGTAATCTACAAGCATACGCATGTGATTGGCTAGCGAAAAGAAGGATGTTTACGTGAATGGAACTGTCAAAGTTAAAGATGACACAATAATTGATAGAGGCAACTTATTAGACATACATCAATATTGGACTGAAGCTCGGCATTGGCTTCTGGAGCTGGCATACCCCTAGGACCCCGTTCCCGTGTGCGTGTTTTCTTTGGACCATCAGCCTGGGCTCTCCCAGCAGCTCGTAGTCTGCACAACCACCAATATTATGCTTGTCAGCAGACTTCACACATTAATAAAGATAGGAGCGTTTATGAAATTTTCACTTATTGTGGTTGAGTATCCAAACATAGCACTATCTCAGAAATATGTCATCAGCACAAGGAATATACCAAAATCAGTCTTTTGCCAAAATAATATACTAAGACGAACACCACTAACAATTAGCTACGAACGTTTCAAGGTAGCAGGAATGCATGTTTGCGCTCGAGTTGCAACAGAGAGAGAAAGAGTGCAGGGGAGCGAGAGAGGTCCCAGGGAAATTTTACATAGAAATAGAAAGGAAACCCAGAAAATGAAAAACTTTAACAAAAGAGGTGTCTTACTGACATATTTACAATTTTGTCCAAAGCTCTATTTAATAAACAGATAAACTAATAAAACCCTTACGGAGTATGCATATGATCGCACGACTTTATTATACTCGTATCCTCAAAGGTCAAGGGCCCAAGGCTCTAACAACATGCATGATTTATTCTAGAAAAGCAGTTCATTAACAGCAAGATATCAGAAGTTGATAGAACAAAATGTCAACAAGACCATACCTACGAGCTTCGTCGTCCCGGCGTTTGGCGTCAATTTCTTTGGTTGGGGGATACTTTGGGAGACTAGAAGGTTCACAAGCATAAGGCTCTGATAGAAAAAACTGCAAATGAGGAAAGAAAGAGCAAAACAGAGGATGTAAGCCATTTATCGAAAGGAATTATAAGAACTGCAGATATCCATCAACTAGTACACACATGATTGGAATCGACGCGGTCATGGATCCACATATAGACCCAATTAGCATAACTATAGTCTAAACACTAAAGTGATGGTTAGGGTCCACACTATGAGATATCACTTGCACATCAATTCTAGACAGGCGACAGTCTGATTAGTCTCATTAACCACTCCACACTCCAAAATCCAAAAATAAAATAAAGGGAAGGGATGCAGAAAGTAAACCATCAGTTTGTTGAATCTAAAATCTGACAAGTCTACTGTCAAGAAACCAAGATGTGTCCTGATTGATTATGTTGGTAGAGAGAAGTAGAATACATAGAAAGTAACCATACAGTATCAAGATCTTGAAATTAGACAACAAGGTCATAGTGTAAGAACTCACCCCACTGCACAATGCAGCTGTGGCTGTCTGACGTTCTGCTGGATCGATTGCAAGAAGAGTTTCAATAAGGGGCAATGAAGATGGGGGAAAATCTTTGAATGTCTCTCTTATGCATCTTCTGTAAGGCTCCCGAGGCCTAAATAGAGTTGCATTAGGCAACTTTGCTTTCCTCCAGTATTCATCTGAAGGTGAACCACATAGTTTGTATATCTTATGTAGTTGCTCCACCTACGTGAGCAGTAAAAATGTGAGATTTACAGTTGCGAGAAACCCAAAAACATCCTCAAATATGTTATCATCTCAGAATTTTAAATTAAAAAACAATGAAAAGGGGATGGAAAAGGTTGAAACTTCAAACATATACTTTAACCAACAGAAACTCAATCTTATGAAAGTAACTAGAAAGATGTGCGCATTGAACATTCCGGCGCAATAACTATTATTACCGGGCGATGTTTTCCAATTTAAAATTAACTTTTAAATGCCTTCCCGCTCATTTTAGCCTGTTACTAAGAAAGGACCTAAGGAAATCAAAATGAGAGTCAACAAGTTACCTCAGTACGACCAGGCATGATAGGCTTCCCAGCTAGTAACTCTGCTAAAATGCAACCTGCACTCCAGAGGTCCACACCCACACCATAATCAGTAGCCCCAAGAAGAAGCTCGGGAGGTCGATACCATAGAGTAACCACCCGACTAGTCATGGGATGCTTGCGGTTTGGATCAAAAAAAGAAGCCAATCCAAAGTCGGCAATTTTAAGAACTCCTCCATTGTCAATCAAAAGATTTGATCCTTTAATGTCACGGTGAAGCACACCACGGTTGTGACAGTGCTCAAGTCCAGATAGTAGTTGATGCATGTAACATTTTACCTGAACCATGAGATGCATCAAATTTCGAAACATTGGAGAATTTACTATAAACCATCTACATGTTTAAACAAGTGGTCAAAGGATTTCAAAGTTCAGTGAAATATTCGCTAACCTGAGATTCTGTGAATTTAATTTCTGGGCTTGCGGCAAGTCCAGCTAGATCATGCTCCATGTATTCAAACACCAGGTACAAACTACATGACATCCTCGACGTAACCAGACCCTCCAACTTTACAACATTGGTATGATCCAGTCTCCGCAAAATAAGAATTTCTCTAGCCATAAATCTCACACTCTCAGGTTCCAAATTGTCAAATCTAACTTTCTTTAGGGCAACAATTTTCCCCGTCAACATATCTTTAGCCTTGTACACATTACTATACGTTCCGGACCCAATCTAACATTAGGGACAAGAAAATGAAAGGGATCAATATTATGAACAAAAAGAGTACATAAACTAAGGGCTTAACATTATGGTAAAAATATACACGAAAAAAGACGTGACCCAAAATTATGTGATAGGCATTGTTCAATTAATTGCAAACTTGTTTACGGCCACCTAATTTGTGATAGGCATTCCCAATAGGAATATTATGGAGAATGCATCTCAAATGATCTGACTTATCACATTTTCCCTTCAGTTCATAACAACGACCATAATTATGCTAAATTCGGCAAAACCATCTTTATCACATCATTTAAGGAAAGGAAGCAAGAATCACAACATCAACTTCTCCATAAAAAGAAGAATGAAAACTTACCTTATCAATTTTCTCAAACGTGTCTGCTTTCCGTGGAGTCCACCCATTGATCGCCTCCCCACACGCCTCAGTGAGCCAGGGTGGCCAGCCTGCAGCCACCTGGGCGCCACGCGATTGCTTTGGTACACTACCTGACCTCGGGTTGGGCTTCGATCGCCTTCTCTCCCCCCTCGGAGGTTTCTCACCTCCATGTCCATTTTCCTCCTTCTTACCCTCACCCCCACCAACATGAACCTCGGCGTTTTCACCATCTACCTTCTGCACCACAACATCATCTACCTTCCTAGCAGATTCTACACTCAAACCTCTCCTCTGCCCCTTTGGCTCAGAATCGACTCCCGAAGACCCTTCTCTGCTAAACACACAGCCCATTCTTGAATCTAAGCTTCATCTCAACATGGTCAATGAAAAAAGCTCTTCCTTTACAATTTAATCACTACAAAATCAACCAATTTGCCAGCACACATGGTCAAATTAAAAACTACCCACCAAAAATCTACAACATAAACATTCAACAACCACAAACAACTACCAAACATCAAATCTTTCCACTAAAACACATACGATTAACATAACCCAGTAATCGAATCACCATAAAAACAAAAAAAACCAACAAAAGGGCAGCTAAAATTCACAATTTTGGAACTGGGTTTCTTCAAGATACACTAATAACTCAAAAAATATTGATCTGGGTATGGAGAGAGCAAGTAAAAGAAAGAGATTTTCCCGAGAAAGTGACAGATTTGTCCTAAAGAAAGAAAGTGAGATTGGAAAAAAGGAAGTGGTGTATATATATTTATGCGTGTGTCTCTATATATATATATATATATATATATATATATAGAGAGAGAGAGAGAGAGAGAGAGGAAGAGAGAGGGAGAGAGAGTTAAAAAAAACTTACTGTGAATTGAGCTGAATCTGTGATTGGTAAGATTGGTTAAGGTGAGGTTTTGTTTTGGAATGGAGTATGGCGTCCTTTCTGCGTGGCTCGGACAAGAGGACGAATAAAAGGAGCACCAGCAGCAGATCTCACTATTTTTCGTTCAAGTCAAAGCCGACAACCCCCTTTCTAATCTACTACCCCCCACACTCTCTCTCCAAACAAATAAAGCAAGGAATCGATTTATATTACAAAATTTCTGGGCAAATAGATTATTATTATTATTATTTTATATTTATATGTTTTGCGTGTAGAGTTAAATTTTTTTTTAATTAAAAAAAAAAAAAAAAACTGATTAAATTGAGTACAAATTTCGAAAAAGAAAACATAAGGGGAGTCTAATTTTTTTTTTTTTTTAAACACAATATCTTATCTTTTTTGAATTTTGATATTTAACTTAATTGATCAGTTATTTTACAAAATCTTTAAAGTGAGCTCAAACGATGAGAAAATACATCGAAATTAAGTTAAAACATCAATCGTTTTCAATGTAAAAAAAAATGTTTACTTTTCTTAAGATCCATTAAGTTCTTTGAGATTGATTACTCTCCCAAACAATTTTGAAGGAGATTTCATTTTCATTTTTTTCTTATGTTCATATAGGCAAGGTCAACATATTAATTTGCATATCATGCGTATTTAGAAGATTATTCTCAAAAACCGATGGTACATCTAGACTCTGCAAAATGCAAAGTATCCCAAGTTTTCTAAAAGGCGACGTAATTTGAGTAAATTACACTTTGTACCCTCAAGTCTGAAAAAAGTCAAAAAGAAAAAAAACTTCTTATGCAAATGCAAAGTGAAAAAAAAAAAGTTGATGCTTCGTGTTTTACAACCAAAGAACAAATCAAAATTGCAAATTGACATTGCAACAATTCTCATTGACCAACTTCATGCAACATTTTTGTCCATAAGAAATTAGAGGTTACAGAACTGCAGAAGCAGCTTCAAATGAGCACAGATAAATAAAAACAACATACCCAGATTTTACATATAGAAAAGCTGTCACTGATTGCCTAAAAGTTGAACAAAATTTGCCGAGTCGTTCGCTACAATTTTTCCCAAACTCATCAATCCTTGCTCTTCTTCTTCTTCTTCTCTTTCTTCTCGCTTGGCACCTCCGTTTCTTCTTCCGCAGCATGCTTTCTTTTCCTCTTCTTCTTCTCTCCCGCATCATTATTTTCAACCACAGCAACTACTTCAGCATCCTCAGCCGAATGCTTCTTCTTCTTCTTCTTTTCCTTCTTTGCAGGCTCCTCAACTTCTGGTTCCACATTGGCATTTCCGTCAGGCATGTCCACGTCATCGGCCTTCTTCTTCTTTTTCTTCTTCTCTTTCTTATCTTCAGTAATGGGAACCTCGGCAGCTGGTTTCTCGGTATTAGGTGTCATTTTCCCAAGAACCGCATCTGCTGCAGGATTATATGCCTACAATGAACAAAAAAGGGTTTATAATAATCAACTGACACTGAAATAAACATCCACAAGAAAAATATCAGACCTTGGCAGCAGTTATCAATCCAGCGGCTCCCTTCTTGCGATCCTTGTCATAGACTTCAATCTTTGGTTTGCCTTTAGCCGACCCAGCAGAGTGACCCAATTCTCTGCCTTCAAGATTCCTTAACCGTGCTTCAAGCTGCGCAGATGTTTCTTTATAAGCTGGAGCGTTCAAAATGTTAAAAGGAAATAATGAGAAGCAAGAGATACCTTTTGATAATTTTCCACTCCCATTGAGTTATCTTGACTGTCTCCAAGAGCATCAACTCGAATTGCCAATGCAGCTTTACTAGCAAGTGACCGAGAAATTTTACCCTTCAGCTTTGGTGCTGCTTTACCAATCAAGGATGCATGGTAGATAAGTCCATATTTTGGTGTTGCGTGCTTAGTCTTCAGTGCTCTGAAAAGGGCCTTTTCAGCTCCAAGAATCTGAACTGTGCTCCCAGGCTGCTTTGCAAGGTTCAACAAGCTACCACCATGGGAAATGAGGCGAGCACCGACGAGCTCTCCAACAAGAGCGGTCAAATTTGGTGCAATGGTGTTCATCCTATTTTTCAAATAGTCATATAGCTGAGCTCTGTACTCAGAGAGAGAAAGGACTTGGTCACAGAGTTCTTTGATGTTCATCAAATCAAGCTCGCTAACTTCCGTTCCCATGGATATCATTGCCGCATCCTTCAATTCAGTTTCAACCTCCTCTGGCAATATCTGTTATATTTGGACCAAGAACAATGAGATCCATTATCAGCATCACCATTTGTTGCCTTATATCAGATATAATAAGATTACTACCGTTAAATATGTTATTATAATGGATATAATGGGTTTACTACCAAGAAATAGTATGATGATGAAAGAAGGCACCATGGCATAATGAGTATTCATCTATAGTAACTGGATCATAAAGAATATTCAATCATATATATAAGGTCCATATAATGGAAACACATAAATCACCAAATCTTACCTCGGAGAAATCAAGCTTTGCAGCATTAGAACGGTAGCCCATCAGCTTCACAACCTTGGCATAAAGGATGTTGTCCTGTACAATCTTAGCAAGCTCTGGAAAATGCCAACCATACCATTCTCGAACCCTCATTGCATATGTATTTAACTCTTTATCAAGATCATCAAGCAAACCAATGGCTTGAATAACCATTGTATCAACCTGAAACAGCAACTTATATTAGGGCTACGGTACATTGATGAACCACAATATAGAGTCCTGAAACTATAATCACAGCTAGCAAACCTATTGTACTTTCAGTCAGCTTGGAGCCCAGAAACATTCATTTACAGTATAGAAAACTGACTGAACATCATTTCCGGTAACTTAACTTTCATTTTACAGAGTTCAGTATCAGTCCTTTACCAACACAAAGTAAGAAAAACCAACAAACTGATCATATGTTTTCTTGCTGTTCTACGACATGTATGCAGAAGAGTTTAAAAACATTGCAGGCAACAAAGAGAAGCAGAACTAAATGCGTTCTCTTTCGGCCTTTTCTTTTTTCTAGTGGAAAATGAAAGCAGGTAATGGAAACACAGTGCCACATACATTACAACGCATCGGTGGAACATATTTGAACGACCAAATAATCCTTTCCTCCCAAGGAAGGAATACATTAGACTGAAAGAACTTAAATTATGTAATATAATGGTATTACGACAAAACAATGCACCACCCAATACCGTTATTCCTTTCTGAAGAGAAAAAAAAAATGTAATCATAGCCACACACCTTATCAGCACTGAACTTGAGCTTGAATCGAGATAAACTGTGAGATAAACCCAAGCTCATTGGTGCCAAATCTTGAACTTGTAGACCGGCTATGAGCTCAGTCAACTGAGCTCTTACACCTCTCATCAACTCCATCACAGCATTGTTGTGAACACAGTCTATTTTCTGCAAGAAATTAAATGCTCAACTTAAATACTATGAAGCTTCAAAGCATCAGATTACTACAGACCCAAGATCTACAAAAAATTCCAACTTTCATCAAGACAGAACAGTAGCATACCAGTTTTTCCTTGATGATATTTCCAAGCTTAGAATCGGAAACAGCCAATGTCTCACCACTGCAGTGCGCTTTCAAAAATTTGCGCAGACCTTTGCTGGGTTTACTGTCAATCAGCAGGGTTGCCGCTTCCAAAGCTTCTGATGTATTCTCAAACTTGGAGAAAGCTTTGAGTTTCACAACCTAAACCATCACCATATATGGATTAAATATATAACAAACAAAATGCTCAAATGAAGCAGATAAATGAGAAAAATCATTTCAAACAACTAAGAAAACCAATCTGGCAGTAAAAAATGCATCGTGCCATATCATGTGTAACAGCAATCAACAAGGATGTGATTTCGGTATAAATTAAAATGCATATACATATTTGATAGACAGACTGATAGATACCTGTCTAGCTTTATCTGCACTTGAAAAATCCTTCCATAAGTCCTGCAATACCAATTAATATGGGAAATGCGATCAGACCCAACACTAAAAATAAATAACAGATGCACCGATGTAAACCCGAACTCAAAAATTAGATTTTTTTTTTTCCTTCATTCTTCTCAAAAACAAGACAGATAACACATACATAAACACACATTTACGCCCGCAATTACCTCAACTTTGGAGAGCTTCCCTTCATCCAACACTTTAAACAAGGCGAAACCCGCTGGAGTTTCGAACAGCACGAGCATTTTTCCGACTCCTCAAAACACACCTACACCGAAATATAAATAAACCAAAATCATCCATCAGATCAATCACTTCTTATAATCTCACACCAACTCCAATAGCAGTGAAAAAGAAAAACCCACCAAAACTTCCTACCAATACACCCAAAAATGCAAACAACCCCAAAATCTTATGCAAAACCCACATCATTGATAAATTTTCAAGCCTCAAAATCCATACTCTTCACAAGAACAAACCAAGCACCCACCAATATCTACATGCGTATATGTGTTTGTTGTGCGTGTGTAGATGGAGGGAGGAAGTGAAGGAGGAGAGAGAGAGAGAGAGAGAGAGAGAGTAAAATCGTAAAGTCATACCTTTTCCTGTGTTAAGCTGCGTCGGAGAGAGGAAGCAGGGGAGGGAGGAAGCAGGGAAGTGAGGGTCTAGGGTTTAAAGGAGACGAGTTGTGTAGAGAAAAGTTGTATATTTATACAGTGGTTTCTATCTGATGACTGACAAAGATGCGCGAGGTGTTTGTGAGAGACACCTGTCGCCGACAGGGGTACTTTGGGCTTTCCAGTATCTTTTGTGGGCATTTTTCTCCAAATATTTGAAAAGAAGTGCGGCACTTCGTCACGTGGCAAGCATACAAGGCGGGTGCAGAACTCTTTCCTGTAGTTACATAACACTTGATACATTAGGGTTTTTGGGGGTTTTACACCGGTGCTCATTCTTGTGGGGTTGAAATTGGATTGAAAATTTTGGGCCGGCCTTTGAAAGGAGAAATTCTAATATCTGAAGGCCGCAGAGCGTATCACGCGTTATTGTGGCATTTTGAATAACACATAGTTACGTGTACATATTATCTTAAATTAGTGGCTTGATACCTCGACATAGTAATAAACTCATTCTATGTAAGTCTCTTTACTGTTTTTTTTAGTTGTACTCACACATATGTTGTGCCTTCAACTAGACGAACACATGGTTTGTTCATCTAACCGGAGAATTTATCTTATGATCGGAACTTTTGGGCTACATGTTTTTTCCCTTAATACCAAAATATATTTACACTTAAGGGGTCAGAGAATAAATTGTTATCAAACTCATCATCTATGAGTTTCGAACTTATTACCTCTTACTCACAAGTGATGAGAAATATAAATAGACTCTAAGTGGCACCCATGTTGGTTTTTAGTTTTAGTTTTGCATCTCATCCTATATATCCACTTTGTTTTTCCTCTCTTTGATCTCTCACATAAACGAAAAATGGTTATCAAACGGGCTATAATTCATTTGAGAAAAAGTGGGCGTGGAGCATGACTAATGTTGTTTGTTCTTCCATTTGCATTGAGTATTTGTATACTGCAGTTTCGTTGAACTAGGATAAGAACACATTACTATGATACTATCCAGACATGTAAACAAATAAACTGCAACATTCCCTTTAGATTATATCTACGATGCATGGACACGGATCCGGAAATACATCAAATTAACAAGAAGAATTGATGTTTGACCACAAGAGATGTACAAGAATTGTTGTTTGACCACAAGAGAAATACGACACGGCACGGGAGTACGACACCGGTGACTTGAGAGGATACCACCGTTTCCATGCATTCATGGGATTATATCAAGCTAGTTGTCTAACAACTTCTGCCAGTAAATATATCGCGTTCATATATTTGAAAAATCAGAATCAATGTCTCAACCCTGATTAAGCTCAAAGAATAGGGAATCAAACTTACACATCCAGAAATCCTAAAAAAAAAATACGACTCATTTATTCTAATCTTTGCAGAAGCATCAACGGCTTCCGGGTTTCATAAACTGCTGCATTCCCCACAAGATAAACTATTCAAATCTATTAGAACTTCTGTATTATGTATATTTGGAATTTCGGATTATATATGAAGCTTACCAAGCTCTCAACGTTCTTTTGGCACGTCGTCTCTATTAGCATCCTTCTTCTTCATCTCGGGTAACACCCTCTCCTGGCTGGGACTTGCCATTTTTCTTGCTGGTGGAGCTGAACAAACTGGCACAACTGATCTAATTCGCACAGCCGGTGCCATGAAGCTAGGTCGCAGTCCTCCCAGTTGCATTCTTTCAGGCAATTGTGCAGCTGAAGATGAAGGGATCCCGGTTCTCATTCTTGGTGGAGCGGGATTCCTGCTTGGAAAATTTTGTGGTCTAGACCCCGGAGAAGAAGAGGGCCTTAAAGTTCTGATTATTACAGGTTCTGCAGCAGATGGCGGTCTTAGAATTCTAGCACTACTTACTCTCGGAGGATTTTGGGGTCTCAAATTGGGCCTACAAGAGTCGAAACCATGAGGATTCTGTAACCTAAAGTCAACTGGCCTAAAACTAGGATCCATGATTCTAGGGTGAGCATGTCCAGATTGCCCAGTTGGGTTGTTGCATTCCAGCTGAAGGTTTCCAATTTTGCTTTCTAACTCTCCTAGGTTCTGTTTCTCAAGCTGAACTTGTTCCTGGACTCTTACTTCAGCGCCACTGTTTCCAGGACTAAAGGGATCTGAAACTACGGAAGGAGAGTACCCGGGTGATTCTTCTGGCTTTTCTTCCTGTATCTCTCGAATAGTCACCGTGGACTTGCCCCTGATTGGCGGGTTAGGAACCAAATGGTTTGAGAAGCAAAATGATGGGCCTGAGGTAGCAATTGTAATTCTGGGTCCTGCTGAGGTCGGCTCTTGCTCTCTTGCTGGAAAGTATAGACAGTGATTTGGGCGAAGCACAGATTGCATAAATGGATATATCTGAGGAATAGATGGAGTAACTGGTGAAACAGGAAGTGCCAGCAGGTGATTTTGTTGCTGTAATAATTGCTCTTGCTGCCATAATTCGTACATTGCTATTTCAGGGGAATAATTAGAATAACCCCAGTTATGGAATTGCAAAGGATATAAGCTTGGTGGTGGCAGAGTGGATTTCTGGAAGATGGGAATGTATGTTTGCTGTCCATGTCGGCGATCATTTTGAGTATTAATAGACTCAGATGGCCGCAAACTTCCAAGAATACGACCAATAATGACTTGTTCCTGTTCTTCATTGCCTCTAGGCTCCACCGAGGAAGAAGATGAGTCACGTTGAGCCACTGCATGGACAACATACAATTTACATGTATAGGACTTGTCTTCGATGGAATACATATTTGGGAAATTTCATTGATTGAGTTGGTAAGCAGCCAAAAGAAGGAAATAAAAATGCATGCAATCTTTCAAGGGAAACCACAAAATGCTTTTTGGCTAGCGTGCATTTAGAAGAAAGAGAAAAAAAGAAAGATAACGGGAAAATGCATACATCTTTTCAGGGCTGCCCAAGCAGCCATTGCAGCATTTTTCTGAGCTTGTTTCTTTGTCCTAGCCGGTTGCCCCGTAAAGCTCATTCCTGCTAGCTCAACTGTACATGAGAACACAGGCACATGGCCTGGTCCAGATCGAACAGTTGTATAAACAGGAAGGTTCAACCCAGCTCTGTGAGCAGTCTCCTGAAGCAAGTTCTTGTAAACCCCCGTTTCATCCTGTGCAGCACAACACACAATATAATTATTCAGCAACTATTTTCTGTGGCAGTTTGCATTAAGTTAGGGATGAAAAAAGGAAAATTCTGGACAGTAAAAGTAAACAATATATTAAGAAGGTATCAAAGAGTCATTCCATTTAAATATAGAGTCCATCAAGAGGAGGAAGCAAATGCTAGTTAGTTTTAACCGGTTTTCTTATTTTCCTTCCTGGTTTTCTGTAAAACTAAATTCTTAGAAACCTTAATCCATCTGTCACAAATAAACTCCCGCTAATGCAAGGTCTAAGGATGATTCAACACGCACGGCCATACCCCTCTTTCGGGAGAGGATTTTTCTGCAATTCGAATTTGTTACCATCTGGTAGCTCAAGGCAAACTGTACTGTTATGCCAAGATGCACCCTCATCAATTCTCAGGGTAGTTTCCAGGAAAAAAGAATACAGTAAAGTCTTGGAACATTTTTCCCTTAACAGTTCAATGTTATGATTTTAGTTTTGTCTCTGGCAGTGGAGGAATCTGCACTCATTGACTATTGGATCACACGTATAAACCACAACAGACATATGGTAATTAGTATTAAAAAATTAATCGTTACTCCAACAAACAAAAGAGAATCACAAACATATCCACCTGAAACTAACAAATTTTGAGCACATAAAGAAACTGTTGTTACCAAAGTAAAAGAAGTAAAGCATTATAATATGCTACTAACCAATACTCTTGCAGCCAGTGCTCTGGAAGGGCCTCTTGTTGCGAGTGTGTTCAATGCTACCTCCGCCGCAGCATGCTCGGCCTGTCTAAGAGTAGGGCAGAATGTAGGACTTTCAAAAGTATCTCCGTTGAAGTTGACAGTTACTTTGAATCGAGGAGCATGATCTGGTCCTTCCCGAATGCATGAATAAGATGGCAAATTGAAGCAACTTCTCTGTGCCAACTCCTGCAATTGGTTCTTATACATACCTGTGTATACATGTAACATTTTATGCAACAATTATAAACGTGTTCTGATTTCAACGACTGACAGATAGAGATTTCAAATTTCAAACTATACAAAAACTGTCCACATACCAGGAAAAGCAAGCCATACCCAAAAACAAAAACATCCCAATTAAAAATACCACAGAATAATGCGGAATTCATGTCTTTCTTAAAACCATATTCCATAGCCATAGTTTGTGATTTTAACTATTTTATGCAAAGGCTTAGAGCTGTAACCTCGTGGCACAGCAAGACCATGGAAAAACGCAAATTCACGAACGAACACACGCCTTTCACGCAAACTAAAGCCAAACAAGCAGTTGTTTGTGGGCATTCATAGTTAGACCAGCGTCCAGAAACGAACTCGTCCGGTTTCTCTATAAGCTTCCTCTTTCCAAACACTATAAGAAGTCAATTCTGAAATTCCACTTTCAGCTTGCATTTTGCATCTTCAAAATACAAAATGAACCAAGCAGCTAACCACTTTCCATTTTTTATTGATCGTCAAATTAATGGAAATTCTCAATTTTTACCAAAAAATTAACTTAAAAGTATCCCAAGAAACCCTTTTTCCACAAAAATTAGGTCTTTCCCTTCTAAAGCTTTCTCAGCAGACAATTATATCCAAATCACGAAATATACATTGAGCTAAATTAGCTCAGAAATTAAAAATTCGGAACACAGAAAGGAGTATTTTTTCCATCCCTGTTTTCCAATTTTTTTCAGCAACCAAACGGAGCTAACCCAATAACGATATCCAAATCCCACATCAATCCCAAACCCAATTAATACCCAAGTAATCAGAAAATAATCACAAAACTCCAATTGAAAATCAAATGAGCTCAAAAACAGACAATAACCAGCTCGGAAAACTCGAAATATATCGAAAAATATGCGAAAATTGATCAGGGTAAGAGCCAAAAGAGGAAGAAAACCACTCACCTTCGCGGCCGAATCAAATTTTCCCAGAGTTTTACCCGAGAAAGTGACTGAATAAAAGGGTGAGCAAGAAAGTGAGATACAATGCAATACAACACTGGCGGTATGGTAAAGTGAGGGACTTTTGTTTTGGATTTTTATTTTTTTTCTCACGACGTTATGTGATTTTCTCTCTCTACTTTCTCTCTCATCATCTGCTGACGGAAGGAGCTACAGAGGCGCTGTAGAGAGAGAGAGAGAGAGAGAGAGAGCGCGAACAGCGACGCTTCTACAGTTTTGAGCTCTGTCATTTTTATACGCCGGAGAAGGACGACATCCGACGCGTCGCCGTTTTGTTGGTTACGGTGTCTAGCTCTGCCTACTTGGATAAGCAATTTTTGGGTGTAACCGACATGTGTTACAGTTTCTTTCAAAATATAACGTGTATTTAAGAAGTAGTTTGATAATTATTTCATTTTTAATCAGTTTTTGTATGAAAACTGAAAATTGGAATCGCATCCGGTAATTATTTTTAGTTTTTATACAAAAAATTAACCATTCAAGGCCAAATTTAAAAAACGTAGTAGTAGCAGGTGGCCCTTTACCACAATGATGGAAAAGTATTGTGCCCCTGCATGATAGCGTGGGTTCGAACCCGTCAGTGACTAATCTAACATTTAATATTTAACTACTCCACTATCGTTTCGCTCAAAAAAAAAAAAAACAAAAAAACAAAAAAAAACGTAGTAGTAAACAAGATTTTAATTAAAAAAAAGGGAAAATAAAAACATAAAATGAAATAGATATCAAACATTTCATCTCTACCATTATAGCATATAAAGAAATATATCACGTGACGAGTGTTCTAGGTACAAAAAAATTTCATCTACGTAAGTACATTATTTTGTTAATTAGTGGTGGAAAGAAACGGCCGAACCATGCAAGCCGACCAAACCAAATCAATTAAAGCACTTTGGTTGGTTTTCATACTAAAAAACAGAAAATCTTGAACCAAATCGAACCAAACTGCAATTAATTATGTTTGGTTCAATTTGACCTATTGAAAAAATAGCTCCAAACTAAACCAGATTGCTTATGCTAATTTTATTATTTATTAGTACTTTGGCATTTTCTTATCAGTAAAGTCTACAATCATATTACATAGATTGAAAAGTGTAAACGTAAGGGTGAAATGGTGGGGATGCTGAAATGTCTTTATGAATCCTTCTTGTTCCCGAACGGTAGGTGTAAGGACTACATGAGTCAATGACAAAACCGTCGCTCCTGTCAATCCTCATTCTGAACAATGCATGATTTATTTTAGGCGCTTTCCGGCTAGACCAACACATTGACATGGTATCTGGCTGCAGGCACTAGCCGTACTTGTTGTCTGAACTCTTCCACTTCTTACTGCATCACTACCAAATGGAAGAAATGTATACGTTCCCTTTCGTGTAGCACATGACGGTAGGCAGTAAGAGAAGCGCATGTTGGTCTAATTAGCTTGTTGCTTTAGGACAGACCTCGGCCCTGCCCACAAGCCAAAATGGCCGGCTATCAAAATTTTAGGTCCATCATTTAGACCGAAAGTTATGTTCCGGTTATCATAGCCACAACCAAATGCTACTGGATACTTCAGACTGGTTTTAATAGAGCTTGGGAAACCGAAGATGTCAGTTTAAAACCAACCTGTGGTGCTGCCTCCGGTGAACTGTGGAGACACAATTTATTGCTACTACACATTTTCGGAATACAAAGAATGTGGCTGCAAGGTAAAAAATGGAATGTCGAGGAGGCAGTTGGTGCATCCGGCGCATTGAACCTGTGTCTCGTCAGCGCCGGAATCCACCATTAAGTAAGGTTTATACTGTCTTGAGCCGATAACGTTTGTGACGCATAGTAATTTCTAAGAGCACGGGAAATGTAAGGCTGTATTCCATTAGGGGCACCCTCAGCTGACCTCATGGACATGAGATTAAGGACTCGTTTTCTTGATCTCTCCTCCCATATGCGATGCCCTTGTTCTAGTGTTATATTTTTCGGGAAGAGAACTGAATCATCGGGGCGAGCTTGATGCTGAAACAACAGGTTCCGATGGGAAAGGTAGCGGTGAAAATGTACACAAGGAAGGCTAGTAGGGCATTGTTGCAGACTTAATATTGAAGCCTTCTTTTTTTTTTTTTTTTTTTTTTGCTTTCTTTTGGTTTGGAAGTATGTGATTAATTAGTAGACGTGCTACTACTTATGACCTTGTATATCTATTGTTCTGTTAGATTTGCAGTTAATGTATTTTACTAAGAGAGGATTCTCTTGTAATTTAATGGAAATTAGCTTTTAATTACTTTATAAGATCATAGCTTTGGAAACCAGAATCCACATATTAATGGCTAAAGTAACAAGCACACATAGTTATTCCAGGCTTTGTCGATACAAAAGCTTTTTTTTATGATCGTGTAGTCGAACATAAGCGGACAACACAGGTAGAGCAGCTAAATTAGAGCAAACAAACAGATGAAAACAACCCAAGAAAATCTATATAGGAAGTTGAAGGAAGCATGAAGCCCTTTTGCAGCATCACATAGTTGCGTGAATGTGTTATGTTGTTCGTGGCCAAGATGGCGCATTGAATGTGGCATTTCTTTTAGCAGCATCCGTGGGATACTCGCCATGTTTTGGCACTGTCGAGTATTGAGAGTATTGAGGCGTAGTAGCTGCGGCAGATGAAGACATTGCACCTTCCTTCAAGAACCGTAGGGCTGTCTCTATGTCATCTGTTGCACTGCTGAGTCTGCCCTCACGGCTTGGCGGAGTCCACGCTGGACCGCTTGGTTGTGGAGTCCATGCTGGACGGCTTGGCCTAGGCTGGTGGCCACCATTTGTCACTGTGTTTGGTCCCATGTCACTGTAATATTTGGGGGGGTAGTCATCATGGTTGTCATTGCGAATGGTGTTTCCGTTTGGCTTGTAGGATGTTTTGTTGTTGTAGTTACTATAGTCACCATAAGTGTCATTATGTGCAGCTTTCGGGGCTGGTTGATGCCTATTTGCACGCTGGTCACGGCTTGCTTCAGTCTGGACTTTGGTCAGGAAATCACCAACTTCTTGCGGATAATCATCTTCAGGGCTGGAAGGTCTACGCAGCTGTTGATGATCAGCTGAGTAGCCATAACCTTTCACGGGACTTGAAGGCCGCGGGTAGCGATCACCAACAGCATAACTTTTGGGGGGGCTTGAAGGCCTACCAACAGCATAACTTTTTGGGGGGCTTGAACGCCTACCAACAGCATAGCTTTTGGGAGGGCTTGAAGGCCTACCAACAGCATAACTTTTGGGGGGGCTTGAAGGCCTACCAACAGCATAACTTTTTGGGGGGCTTGAACGCCTACCAACAGCATAGCTTTTGGGGGGGCTTGAAGGCCTACCAACAGCATAACTTTTTGGGGGGCTTGAAGGCCTCCGTGGATATTGATCACCAACAGTGTAACCATAATTTTTTGGGGGGCTTGGAGGCCTACGCGGGTATTGATCACCAATAGCGTAACCATAATTTTTTGGGGGGCTTGAAGGCCTATGCACCTTGGGATCAGCAACAGCATAACCATACCCTTTCGCAGGGCTTGAAGGCCTATGAAGCTTGTGATCATCAGCTGCATAACCATAACCTTTCGCAGGGCTAGAAGGCCTACTCCAGTCATCAGCATACCCGTATTCTTTTGCAGGTGAGAGAATACGTTCACTAATAATTGTCTCAGTTTTCATAACATAGCTCCCTTGTTGCTGGAAGGGGGCGCAACCAATGATTGTTCTTCGTGTTCCATCGGCACCAACAATGATTGTGCGGCACTCATCATCTGCATAGCTTGTCTTGTTCCATTTATTGGTGTGCGGTCCTCCTCCCGGGCCATTAGAGTAACCAGATCTATAGTTGTGATCATAACCGGCCATTATTCAGCCTAAAGTTTTAAACTATATGATTTACTTGATCTCTAGGATTTCTTTCTCACCTGCAACATTTGAAGCTTCTTTTTGTTTATATAGAAGGTACAATTATTTTTACCTTTATATCACATATGCTTCTCTCTTTCTGATGCATTCCAAGATTCCCTTCAGGTTCTTTCATTGAGAAAACAGATGAAAGAATCATATTCCCGCGAATCCATGGATTTCAACCTCCATCATCTTCCCTTCCATTGATTGAAATATTTTCTTCCGTTAAGGCTAGGGTAACTTGAACTACAAGATGAGTTGCGGGACCATTCGGTTTCAGTAAATGCAGAAAAATCAGTAATTGTGTGAGCATAGTTTCAGTGACTGCTGCACTGAAATGTGAGCAATCAAAAAAACATGCAGTTACCAAAACTTTCTGTCGAATATAAGATTGTGAACCTTTGTAGAAAGGTTGAAGAATCGTGTTCTGCTCATACAAGGGATTGAGACCTCCATTAACAAAATCTTATTCCTTCCAGCAAAATCCGTATGCCATATTCCATCGAGCACTTCTCAAATAATCTTCGATTCTGGGGTTGATTTCGTGTGAGGTTAGGAAGTGGCCCAACTACTTATAAGCACATATAAGGTCCCTCCTTTCCCAAACATAGGATTCATACTCTCAACACAACTCTTTACGTGTGGCGAATTTTCAAGCTTAGCACATGGACAACACAAATCGGGTGACGTGGAGCACGTATGGCCGTTGACTTCACAGGCGGGACAACCTGCTCTAACCATGAAGAAAGTTTGAGAGGAGTAGCCCAACGACTTATTGAAAAATATCAATACTCAGTATAGTAAGAATGCTTGAATTAATAAACTCAAAATCATTGAATTAATGAGTGAGGCTACACTTTGAATATATAGAATTACAAGTGATCAGGTTGTTACAGAAGAAAGTTATCTCTAATTATCAATAATTCAAACATACACAAAAGTTAATCAACTGTGGAGGAGTTGTAGATAGAGTTTAACTGTGGTAATTATCTATCTGCGCAGAACACTTGTGGAGAAGAGCGGGAAGGGAAAATTGAAACTAGCTTGGCTTATCACTTATAAACACATGCAAGGTTCGTCATTTCATCGATTTGTGATTCATACTCTCAACATACACAAGGTTTTGTATTGACACAGACTGGTTTGGCAAGATGTCATCAGTAGAGGTGTAGTTACAAACTCATATATTTGTTGTTGTGTACGATCTACAATAAGGGAAATGATTTCCGCATGTCAGAAATAAATGGGTGCGTAGAAGAAGAAAAATAGTGTGCGGAAATCACTTCCAGTGCAATAAATGTATTTTTACTACAAGGAAATTCCTTTTGTCTTGCCTTCAACATCTATAATATTTTTCTCCTTCTTACACTAGAGGAAGCGAACCCGTTGCCTACCCTAATCCTAGTCCATTTCCCAATAACTCTCATTACTTGAGCTAACCCGAAGGGGGAAAGAAAAAAAAAAAAAGGAAACATGAATTCACGAAATTACTACAAAGCTTATTTTATTACTTATTTCACAAGGCATACATGCCATCAATACAAATTACAAAGAGTACACTTCATGATGAAACCAAACAGAAGCAGAAAACACAGACAGATGGAATGGCTATGCTATACCGATCCAACGGATGAAAAAGGCCAAAGAAACGCCATACATCGAATTTATTAAAACGCGGGTGGGAAGATAAGGCAATAGGGTGGGTTCATCAACACTATAAATTTGTATGTGAGATGTATTCAACTCGTATTTTTGTCCGCAGCTCGTTGATAATTCATAGCCTGTCTACGAGAAAGCGTAACCAATGACTGTTCTTCGTCCTCCATCAGGATCAACGATGACGTGGCGGTACTCATCATCTCTAAAGAGGTATTCATCATCTCTACTTATTTGACGAATGACTCTTTGTATTTCATCACGAGCAGGGATGCGGCGCTCACGACTGGTGTGCGGTGATCCCCCCTTGCCATCAGAGGAAACCGCTTTAGGGCATGCCGTTTCAAAGCGTACCATTGTTTAGCCTGTTTAGCCCGAAGTTTTAAACTATATGATTTACTTGGATCTCTACGCCTTCTTTCTCACCTGCAACATTTGAAGCTTCACCTTGTTTATATAGAAGGTACAATTCTTTTTACCTTTATATCACATATGCTTCTTCTTTTCCGATGCATTTTAAGATTCCCTTCAGGTTCTTCAACTGCAAAAACAGTTGAAAGAATCATATTCCTGCCAATCCATGGATTTCGACCTCCACCATCTTCCCTTCCCTTGACCGAAATATTTTCTTCTGTTAAGACTAGGGTAACTTGAGTTACAAGATAAGTTTAGTGACCATTCGGTTTCATTAATTAAAAGAAGAAATATCAATAATTGTGGGAGCATAGTTTGATTGACTGCTGCAATGAGTGATTCCAACTGAAATGTGAGAAATCAAAAAAAACATATGCAGTTACCAAAACTTTCTGTTGAATATAAGAACTTGCGCCTTTTTAGAAAGGTTGAAGAATCGTGTTCGGCTCATACAAGGGATTGAGACCTCCATTAACCAAATCTTATTCCTTCTGTTCTGAATTCGAAATGCACTTGGAACTTTCTGTCGAATCTTATTCGTTCTCTCATATCCAGGAATGTTGACTTGAGTCTAAAAACCATTCTTTCACTCACACGAATGCTAACTTGGTCCAGCAAAATCAGTATGCCAAATTCCATCAAGCACTTCTCAATAATCTTCGAGTCTGGGGTTGATTTCGTGTTAGGTTAGGAGCTCGGTTTCTTGATATTTCAGCCATCATGTGATGCATCTCTCTGAGAGTGAAATTCTATGGGAAGATAAATGTATCAATCGGGGTGGCAGTGAGCATGTACACAAGGAAGGTTGTGTATTGATGCAGATTGGTTTGGAAATATGTCATCAGCAGAGGTGTAGTTACAAACTCATATATTTGTTGGTGTGTAGGATCTTCAATAAGGGAAATGATTTCCACATGTCAGAAATAAACGGGTGCATAGAAGGAGAAAAATAGTGTGCGGAAATCACTTCAAGTGCAATAAATGTATTTTACTACGAGAAAATTCTTTTGTCTTGCCTTCAACATCTATATATTTTTCTCGGTCTTACAATAGAGGGAAGCGAACCCATTGCCTACCCTAATCCTAGTCCATTTCCCAACAACTCTCGCTACTTGATCCAACCCGATAGTAAAAAAAAGGACACACAAATTCACGAAATTACTACAAGGCATACATGCCATAAATACAATTACCAAGAGTACACTTCCATGTCTTACCATGAAACTAAATGGAAGCAGATAACACAGACAGATAAGAGTGGATAGGTTATACTGATCCAACGGACTAAAATGGCCTAAGAAACGCCACACATCGAAGCCGAAGCATAGAGCATAAAGCCTTAATTAGCATCACATAATTTACTTGTATGAATATTTGTTCTTGGGCTTTGAACTCTCCTACAAGTAGTGCAGGGGCCTCTCCATGTCATACTCGTCGATAATATATCTCATTGTCCGGTTCGCGGAAAGTGTGACCAATGACTGTTCTTAGTTCTCCATCAGGATCAACGACGACTTTGCGGTACTCATCATCTCTAAAGATTTGAGGAATGACTGTTCTTTGTGTTCCATAGGGATCAAGGACGTGGCGCTCATGATTGGTGTGCGGTACTCCCCCCTTGTCATCAGAGTAAACCGCTTTAGGCCTATGCAGCTTGTGATCAGCAGCAGCATAACCATACCCTTCCCGGGGGCTCAAAAGCCTATGAAGCTTGTGATCATCAGCTGCATAACCATGACCTTTCACAGGACTAGAAGGCCTACGCCAGTCATCAGCATACCCGTATTCTTTTGCAGGTGAGAGAACACGTTTCGTAACATAGGTCCCCGGTTTCTGGAAGGGGTCGCAACCAATGATTGTTCTTCGTGTTCCATCAGCATCAACGATGATTGTGCGGCACTCACCATCTGTATAGCTTGTCTTGTTCCATCCATTGGTGAACGGCCCTCCTTCCTTGCCATTTGAGTAACCCGATCTGTAGTTGTAATCATAGCCGGCCATTGTTTAGCCCAAAGTTTTAAACTATATGATTTACTTGGATCTCCAGTACTTCTTTCTCACCTGCAACATTTGAAGCTTCTCCTTGTTTATATAGACGGTACAATTATTTGCCTTTATATCACATATGCTTCTTCTTTTCTGATGCATCTCAAGATTCCCTTCAGGTTCTTCAACTGCAAAAACAGCCGAAAGAATTATATTCCTGCCAATCCATGGATTTCGGCCTCTACCATCTTCCCTTCCCTTGACTGAAATACATTCTTCTGTTAAGATTAGGGTAACTTGAGCTACAAGATAAGTTGCGTGACCGTTCGGTTTCATTAATTAAATGAAGAAATATCAATAATTGTGGGGGCATTGATTGACTGCTGCAATGAGTGATTCCAACTGAAATGTGAGAAATCAAAAAAACATATGCAGTTACCAAAACTTTCTGTCGAACATAGAATTATGCGCCTTTTTAGAAAGGTTGAAGAATCGTGTTCTGCTCATACAACGGATTGAGACCTCCATTAACCAAATCGTATTCCTTCTGTTCTGAATTCCAGATGCACTCAAACTTTCTGTCGAATCTTATTCCTTCACTTCATATCCAGGAATGCTAACTTGAGTCTAGAAACCGTTCCTTCACTCACAGGAGTGCCAACTTGGCCCAGCAAAATCTGTATGCCAAATTCCATCGAGTACTTCTTGAATAATCTTCAGTTCTGGGGTTGATTTCGTGTGAGGTTAGGAGCTTAGTTTCTTGACATTTCAGCCACCATGTGATGCTCTCTTTGAGAGTGAAATTCTTTGGGGAGATAAGCGTATTGATCGGGGTGGCAGTGAGCATGTACCCAAGGAAGGTTGTGTATTGATGCAGACTGGTTTGGAAATATGTCATCAGTAGAGGTGTAGTTACAAACTCATATATTTGTTGGTGTGTAGGATCTTCAATAAGGGAAATGATTTCCGCATTTTAGAAATAAACGGGTGCATAGAAGGAGAAAAATAATGTGCAGAAATCACTTCTAGTGGCCCCGCTTAAGTAATTTGTTTGTTAAGTTGTAGACTAGAGTTATGTCATATACACACGTTATCTCCGAAGAAAATATATGTATCTAATATCGAACATACCTTCATACCACTTACACTCCATATCAAATATTATATGAGTAAAAGTGCTCTTACTTTGTCATTCAAACTGAAAAACTCCTCTTCCGCTTATCATGTATTAATATTTTTCTCACCACTTTTCCACTTTCCACTACTATACTGAAATTTTTGTAACATGAAATTGTGATACATCATCATTTGAAAGCATCCCTATTATCATATTGAGTACAAGCCACACTATAATAAAATTTTCTTAGTTGATTTTTAGGATGCCCCCATTAAAAGAAATTTGTAGCTCCGTCCCTGCTACCAGTAGTGAGCCACGAATTTGGCTTAGTGCCGTGGCCACTACCATTCGCTATCACGTTAACTGCTGGCTCCCATAGCACCGCTGTTATGTTTGCTTTGTGCGTGTAGTAATCATTGTTGTCATTCTTAACGTGCAACCCCATTGTATCACTTTGATTAAGGTAGCCGACATAAGTTCTTGCCGGCTCAAGTCCTGTCATGGAGGGCTTGACGGCCTATTACGCCAGTTGTCGCCGGTGGCACAATCCGTCAGGTATAGGGTTTTATCAAAAAACATTGATATTAGTTGAAGTGGAATTTTATCAAAAAACATCAGGATTAGTTGAAATAAAATTAGGATATTTAATATCTTCTTTTCTCATAGATACATTCGAGTGAAGATATTTCATCAGTATGAAGTTAACAAAGGTGGGTCTAACATGTTCAGTAATGATCGTCTCATGTTTTATAAAGTACCTCCCAGGTTGTGCGCCAGCAATGATTGTTCTTCGAGTTCTGTCAGCATCAACGATGATAGGCCGAAACTCATCCGCGTCGGCAGCATACCTTGTTTGGCCCCACTAGTTGGCATACGGTTGTAGTGAAAAAAGTTGAGGTTCCCTTATAAAATCGTAACGGGAGAAGTGTTTGTTTGTAACATGTTGAGAACACAACTCAGGTGAGTGGAGCACGTGTGGCAATTGGGCTTAATATGTGAGACAACTTGCTCTGATACTATGAAAAAAGTCAAAAGTTCCACCATAAAACCAATTAGCAATATAGAGAGTGGCCTATCTATTTGTAAGCACATGCAAGTCTCTTATCAATGTGAGATTCATTCTCAACACCTAGCCCACTGCTTCCTCTGATGTAGCCTGCTCCCTAACCGTAGCTGGTCATTGCTCCAAGTATGGAAGTAGCGGTATGACATTTTTTTTCTGATTACTTGGATTTTTGAAGATTATATATATAGATACTTATTGGATTGTTGAAACATAAGTGTATATATATAGATACATATTGGATTGTTGAAGCATCTGTGTGTGTGTGTAGATACACGTATGTATACATATCTATTGAACAAACACTTCAAGAATCCATATTCTGTGGATCCCCAAGTTGTTATCCCCATTAACTTCCCTTGAGAGAGGGGTATAGAAACACTTAGTTGGCAACCCATATCACCAATAAGAACTTACACGTTTCGGGGACACCACTGTGACAAATTCAAACTAATCACACAACACGATTTAGACAAGTTGAAAACACATGGTAACACGCGACAGACTTGAAATGCTGACACATTTGCGTCTTAGTTACATGTAAGTTTCTCTCGATATCATCACACTCGAAAGTCGGAACTTTTGGCCTTAAAACTCTTCTCCTGAAGAGAAACATCAAGATCAAAGCTTACCGCTTTTGCCCAAATGCAGATTCTCTGCGTTATCAAAATATCTGAAGAATCATGTTCTGAGTCCCAAAGGCAACCAACTTTCTTCCCTCATTTTTAAGTCTACGATAAATTTTTTGTTAGGAGAACATGGAAAAAAAGACAACTACTATACATCCTTTAAAGATATTCTTCAGCACTTTCATTTCATGTTGGGAATACAAATATGACAATGACACTCAAAAAAGAAAAATAGCCAATGTTTCCGTACGGAGAAGAACTTACATGCAATCCGAACGTTAAAATGACAATATCTGAAACCAATCACACAATGTCGTGTGGATGTGGGCAAGGTAGCGCACATGGTGGTGTTTGATAGCCTTAGAATGGTGCTATTTTAGTGTTCCGGTTGTATGTAAATCCCTATCTTCGATCTCACACAGAAGCCTAGCATGGTACTGCAAATTCCATATGCCAAAATTCCATCCCAAATTTCTCAAACAATCTTCGATTATGGGACTGATTTTTCGCCTCGGCAGAACTTGTTGGTCACTAAACCTGCACGAACTTGTAGGTCACACGATTTATGAACTCCGCCGATAACATCACTCATCAAATTCCTCAGGTTTCTTGTCGGAGTTTCAGACTCGGATTTCAAGTTTACTTGCAGCGCAAGATCAAGAGCAGAAAGACAGACAGATGGTTTTCTTTGGACGAATGTGAACCTTGTATTAACTAGTGGAGTACACAAACCTCTTCCATGGAAAAATAATTATACACCACAAACAAGAACATATCCAACAAAATCAAATTTTCAAGGCTCAAACGTTGGAACTTCCTCTACAGAGGAATACGTTACCCGATATGCTGTTCTGTCAAAAATATTCCTATAAGGATCCTCCTCCCGCTTCTTAATTAAGTATGCTAAACTGTTTTCAATGTCAGATTGTATCTGCAAGTACAATTCGTTCGCGTTTTCTTTGTCTTTCAGGATCTCTTTCTTTCCCTTTGTTTCTATGGGCTTCCCAAACAAATAGTAATACCGTCCTGGTATCTTCGGTACAACCCCAGGAAAAAAGAGTTGTGTGTTGGCAACCTCCCCACTTGACTCATCCCTACAAAACCAGAGAACATTCAAATTCTGTTTAAATATGTGCGACCATTAAGATTAGAGTTGGGAGAACACACAAACAATAACACGGAGAATAATTACCTTAGTTTTATAGCATCGCGATTAGCGTCTTTGAGATAGTCACTCACCACTGGTATATTCATTAGGTCATTGTAGTCAAGAACCAACTGCCGGATCCAATATAAGAACCAAAATATAATGTTAACCGAAGATTTAGCTCAGAAGTAAAAAGAAGGCATGGTATTGCAACGTTATCTGTTTTCCGAAAAGAATAACGAGTGGTATCGGGGGAAAATAATGTACGTATTAAAAGCTATAGATGATCAAGATTTCATAAACTTATTGTACGCTATGAGAAAGAGGCCCATATCTTGCTAAGAAAAGTTTTGGGAAGAACAGTAACACAAGCTTACTTCTAGTATGTCATCTTCTCCTACAGCCGCAAATGGTACAATTGTGGCCCCAAAGCATGCAGCCATTCTCACAAATTCCGGTTGGTCAGGCCAGAATAACTTGTATTCTTCACCCTGCCAATTACAGAAACACCATATAGGCATGGGAAACCAAAACCATAACAGATGAATTACCAACAAGATGAAGTGTGTGCGTGTAAAATCCATTGCACACACATTTAAAACTGCAAAATGCCGGATCAAAACAAAAACCAACATTCTTAAGCCAATGGAAAATTGGTTTAAGATGAAACGAGGAACCTGGCGCGCACCTTCTTATGGAGAGCCTCACGTGCACCACCAGGATAAAGCAGAACATGTGATTTTGTTTTAAGCAATTTGAATAGGTTTTTTGCTGTGACAGGTACTGCACCGAATAGTTTGAGAAAGTCAAATTGGGCCGAGGTCCCGTTCTTGCCCCAAAACAGCTCTGGATGTGCTACTCCCCTAACGATTATGCTCTTCTCTCTTAAAAATTCTTCAACTAAAGAATTCAGTTCCAATCCCAATAAATTGTGATAACCAACAAGTAAGACAGGTCCTTCATTAGGAACTCCAGCAAGACCTCTCACTATTTTCCCATCTTCCAACGTTGAGAGTATTACGGAAGCAGTAGCTAGGCTTAATAATCTGACATTCATGTATTTCAGTATCAGTTCTGGCCCCAAACCAATAAATATGTTAATGGATGCAACTTAGCGGGGTTCAGGTTAGGTGCAAGTGAAACCCAACATGATGTATCTCTACTACAAGTACATTTTGGAACTAACATGCCTGGAAATCTGCATCACAGAAGACGAAACTAACAAATAAAAGAAAAGTGGAAGTGTTGAACTGACTTACCTGAATTGTTTATCAGATGCATTTTTAAATTCCCACATACTAGGAGGAAGAAAATCTGAGACATAATCATGCTTCCTTGAACGACGGTATTTGTAAGTGCCTTTTATAACTGACATCAAATTAACGCCATCTTCCTTTTAACATGACAGTAGAGCACATTCAATCACATTAGCGTCTTCACAAGTCAATGGCACCCGAAAAGTAAAGCTTATATTACACAGGAACAGCAAAGTATAGCGAAATTTGCATCAAAGCAAACAAAATTGTTGTCACAGTAACAGTGTCTAGTGTCCATTGTCAAATGGGCAATTGATATCCCGAGAGAGTTCTTCAAGCCAAAACTCAAATCTTTATTCTTTAACCAGAGATTTTATCCGACTTGGGAATTAATAAAAGGATGTTGAGTTCAAAGAACAGATTCAACAATATTCAAGAAATGAGATAAAACTGTTTACTAAAATCATATCCAGAAATGCACCTTGGTTATTAATTTAAAGTTAATGTTATTATCCAACAGACGAATTGAAGCTAACTTAAAAGATAGAATTCACCATGATCAGTCCAATGTGTTGCATACTTACGTCTATGCAGTTTAAACAAAATCATTAAGGGCATCGATTCCACAATGTATGCTAAACACGTCGTTAAACTTGTTATCAACGATGACAGCTTACAGAAAATTCAGTAGCATCGCACCAGACTTGAAATATACAGACATATTTTAACTTACTAGTAATAGAGTATGTCCATTGTCATTGAAGTGTCGTACTGTACAATTCTGTAACGAACGTGCTAGTCGTTCTGCTTCATTTCGACTTGGGACCATATAATCTTTGCCACTGAAAAAAGAATAAAAATAAAATATATACACAATTTTACAATAATCATTTTTTATTGCGAGTGAGAGAGAACCACAATAGGTATAGTGAATATTAACCTAGCCAACACTAGCACTTCAGCTTTAACAGCATGGAGACGGGAATTTGCATAAGCAGCAGCTGATTTGAGCAGCTTCAGCTTCCAAAGAAGAGTGTCCCTCGGTACAATATCAGCCAAAGACTGAGATGGAAATGATATAAGTAAATATTGAAAATAAGATAGAATCCACACCTGTAGACATTTCAATGAAGCTCAAGAAAAGGAATTGAAAGCACTTCTTACAGAGAGATATGGTAGCAAATCAGTCAGGTTGCGAGACAATTGTGTTAACTTTAAACTGGGAGGAAGCCTATTTTCAATGTTAACCATCGCCATTTTTGTTGGATCACCTGGTGGAATGAAGGTTTACGTAGTGACATCAGAGTTCTTGTATTTGACATTGGAAAACATAGGGACTTGAAACTGCAAACAGTTGTTTCTGACCATGACACGCTCACGGAACTTTCCAGGAAAACTAAGATCCAAAAGTTTTTTAGAACTGCTTCCAAACCTTGTAAAACAATTATTTAGTTCAAAAATCCAGAAGCTTATATTTCAAACCATAAAACCTATTAATACATGATCCTAATAGCTTGTTAGATTCCACATCGCCCAGGGGAGTGGATCCTCTATGCCTTATATGTACATGCCCACCTCCATATAGCACAAGGCCTTTTGGGAGCTTACTGGCTTCGGAGTTCATCGGAACTCCGAAGTTAAGCGAGTTCGCGCGAGAGCAATCCCAGGATAGATGACCCACTAGTGGAAGTTCTCGTGTAAGTTCCCAGAAACAAAACCGTGAGGGCATGGCCGAGGCCCAAAGCGGACAAATTCTCGTGTGAGTTCCAAGAAACAAAACCGTAAGGGCATGGCCGAGGCCCAAAACGGACAATATCGTGCTACGGCGAAGTTGAGCCCGGGATGTGATGGAGCCCGGGTCGGGATGTGACATAGCTAATAACCCAATTCTCTAGGAAACCAACAAAAATGAGTTTTCTTGTGAACTGAAAAACATAATCTTATTGACCTCACCAAATTCCGAATATAAAGTATCATATTCTTTTTCACTCCTAGATTAACAATTTGATAGTAAAATTCAATTTTCGTTACTGGACTCCTAATTAGAAATTCCTGATCGTATTGACCAGATTTGTTCCCGTGATAAGCTGTAGTCTAAATACTCACATTAGCATTTCAGACTGTACGAAAATTGAGACAAAAAACTCATTGGCTACGACGCAGGGCTCAAACTAGTCAAGTTTCATAACCAGACTTGTAAGAAGACAACAATAAAGCATTTCTACGATTCTTTTTAGTCAAGGGAAGATAATGGAGGTCGTAATCCTGGATTGGCAGCACCCCAAGAGAATAAGCATTCCACATGTCAAAGTAACACAGTTAATTGAGACAGGATTGAAAGCAAAGTCAAGGGCCAAATTAGAAATGACTCATCTCACTTCACCATAAACGTTTTTGTTCATTAGATTCCAGAGCAACAAATCACGTACCCATAACAAAGCCAAGTAGATAGGGAACTGCAAAATGTAATTCATCAGGCATAGCCTCCAAGATTGGGAACAGAGGTTGCAGCTGAGACCTTTCAACCGATGTTGCTAAAATAAAAAACACCAAAAATGTCAGACTGAGTTGGTGTGTTGAATACACGCCGTTAGCATAATAAAAATACATGTTGAAGAAAATTGAACCGTGCAATTTATAAGCAACCTGGATTGACTAGTATCAATACTAAATCAATGGTAGGATTATGTGCAGCAACAGCAAGTGACAGGCATCCTCCAAAGGAATCTCCTACCAAGTAAATTGGCTTGTTTGGACATGAAGCATGCTCAAGCCTGATAGTTTCTACGACAAATTTCACCAGCCCTTAACAGATGAAACCAAACTAAATTATTGATTGAGAGCAACATTTTATCAAGCAAAGAAAAACAAAAATGATACTTCATACATATATAAAGATTTTCAAGATTAAGACCTTCAAATGGTGTTCGATCATTAACAGGAATATGCAGGCATCGAACTTCAAAAGCCCTGCATTTTTCAACGAATTATATATCAGAAGCTGCTAGAAATAGTTTACCTCCAATTTCAGAGCTAAGAACCTGATTTTTAGCGCTACCATATTTCTCTATCAAGAACAACCATTTATTTGAGTGGAATTTCGCCAAGAAAAACGTAGTTTATTAAAATTGAAGATAATGGTTATCTTACTTCCCAAGATCCTAACAAAATTTTGTAAACTAAAACGAATAAATAAATCAAAAAACTTACTTCCCAAGAGCTTTGTGGTGCAAAATGAGGCCCCAGCCAGTACCATCCAGCCCTGTATATGCACAATACCGAAAGGATTATGCAGCAGTCTGTACTATAAAACTTCACCCATTAAGAAAGACAAAACAAACACATTTTACGCAGATTTATGCTGTTTAGCTATTCTACATACATACATACATACATACATACATACATATATATATATATATATATGTATATATATCCTTTGAATGCAAATCACAGTGCCAACATTAGAGACCAACTTATGATTTATCATCTTCGGCACGCCAACAATTACCAGGCAAAAACAAAAGAATCGGAGAATCGTTTAATGGGCGCCCGCACGCAATGGGAGAAAACCACCGGGGAGGTCCGCCGTCAGGCTTAATCGTCTCCTTGTTTGCATGAAAATAATCTTTTACAGTGACAGTCCCATATCCATCATCGTACAAAGGTTTCAAACTTTCAAGACCACCACCATCCTCCACCCTCTTCTCCTCCTCCTTAACTTCAAACCTCAAACTCCCATTCACTCTCCTATCCTCCCTCTCCTCGATTACGGAAGCACGATTAGAAACAAATGATTCTGATGACAACACTGGTGAATCCTTACTATCTAAACTCCTAACCTGCACTCGAAACCGAAGCTTGTTCTCCGAACTCAACACACAAAAATGCGGACCCGGAAAGCCTATAACTGATGTCATGGCTTCAAGCAACATGCAAAAGATTATAAACCCTTTTCCCAAAAACTCACAGAATTCAGAAACTTTGGAACTCACAACAAAAACTAGCACTTGGGGAACACCTTAGGTCCTTAACAGAATGAACAAAAACTGCCGAATTCAGGACATTCCCATAAACCACTCCAGCAGAAACAACCATGCATTTAGCACAACACAAACCTTCCGGCACACTAAAAAATGGGCACAAAATTGAGATTTGAAGCCGAGCCAGATAGCTTACTGGAAGACATAGCCTCTAAAACACCTAAAGTCCTGAACTTTCCTCCAATTTAACAATAACTGGCAACAAAATATGGTAAAAAAAAAGCTCAAAAGGCAATGTGAACAAATTCCAGCAAATTTTTATGGTGCAGAAAAATACGGAAATGAAATTATTGGGTGATAATCTGGATTGTACCCGATGTGGGTCTGAGTGGCAGACCCAAATAGCTGAGTTTTGTCCATTGCTTTATTGCTATGGTTGTTATCAGGCCACATGGGTCATCTGACGCTGTGACGTTGGCAGCTTTGGAAGAAGGGGAAGCTCTGTCAGTGATAAAACCGGTGACTTTGCACAGTTAACGGTGTGTGACCAGAAGAAGAAAAAGGAGAATTACAAGTAATTGGTGGGCAAAAATGGAAATGTAACTTTGCGAATGTGGTGGTCTAAGGTCTTACGACTCTTACCAGTGAGTCTGAGTGTCGCTGTTATTGCCAAATGCAGACAATACGAAAAGGCACTGGGATGAGAAGAATCGGCAGGAAAAGACCTTTACTTTATTGAGACCAAGGAGATATTTTTAATTGTGATTGGAACCGGATAGTACATCATGTGTTTTCATGTAAATTGTGAGAAATTTTATTTTTTATGTTATTAATTTTTTAACATACATATCTCACTATTTATATAACAACACATAATGTAATAACCTGAAAGACTGACACGCTGAAAAATCTTTGAAGACAAAGAGAGAAGGGAGGATGTTTTCTTGTGAAAAAGCAGAAATAAAATAACTTTTCATAGGTAATCAAATACGGAATGATTATTGCAAAATCGTTACAAAAAAACAAATTGATTACCGGAAAATTTGGCCCTTGAGTGTGGCCCACTTCTATCAAGAACTTTCTTGTGTGACGGGATATGAGGGCGAGAGCCGTGAGACATCGCATTCACATATTACAATACAGATGGTATAAATATATACTAGGTTTTCTATAAACGTATTGGCAAGTGCGAAAGGTTTTTTTATTTATCACGAACGTTACACGTCTCTAATGTTTTTCTAAATGTGTTTGATAATGTATAAACAAAAATTGTGTTAACTTTTAGTTACAGGGCACAGGTCACATTTTTTCAAGTTGTCATGACCAAATAATGATGATATGTTTTGATACATTTATCTAAAACAAAATATTGACAATATTTACATATAAAAACATAAAGTTTACTTGTAACGTGATGGTGTTATTACCAAATAGTGATATCTTTAATCAGAAATGCTAATTTTCAAATACGATGAATTTTATTCTTACCTTTTACCCACAACATCACTAGATATACCATGAAATTTAATGTTACTTTTACCCACAACATCTTCCTTATCGTTTTTGTGCGTTCTCATCTTTTGCTTTTATTATCTAATCCCAGTAATATTAATCTTGGCGTACCAACACGATTTGTGGGCGTTAAAACGTAGACAAGGGGCATTTGAAGAGGGTGGCTGTCAATTAAACGAAATGTTTAGAAGTCAGTGTTTCGATATCAATGAATCCACATATTCTAAAGTAATTTTATTGTGTTTGTTGCCTCAAATCCATCAAGTTGGTTGAGACGCTCTAGCGTAAGGAGGAGGATGACAGAAAATCATATTAGAAACTTTAAATCTATGCAACCAATAGTCGAATCATTGAGTGATCCACAATCAAGATCTTCATGGCATATAAACGTAAAACATGTATTCAAAAGTTAGAGGATACTCCAAAAAGCTATTGTTCCTTTGTTTCTTATAGATTCAATTCCCAAGAGCACCAGATTTGCATACACGCCTTAGTGCTGGTTTGGTATTGCTATGTTTTGAAAAAAAAAAAAAAAAAAAAAAAAACTGTTTCTGCTATGCTATGAGAATAAGCTCATTTTTTCTGCTTCACGTTTTCAGCTTTTTTTTCACCCAAAATTGTGAAAATAAGCTGTTTTTAAGTATTTACCAAAAACCTTTTTGAGCTTTAACTTTTTTTTTATACCCACTTTTTATAAAAACATCTCAGTATCAAACCAATATTTAGACCATCCAATAGTAAGAATATATTTCCAAACTCCATGAAGAACAAACCGAACTAAAATATAGCAATAAATTGACAACCCAAAATAATTAAAGAGTCATACCTGATTAGTTGCATTGCACCAACGTCACAGGCTGTAAGAAGATTGAAGCCAATTCAGGGCTTGTTGATAATTCTCTTATAGGTGTGTGCTTGAACTTTGCTGTTGATAATTCTCTTAAAATAAATCAATAATTATCTTATAATTATGTGTACTTGACAGGATGACTTTTTCGACAAAGCTCTGCAAAGTTGAAGATAGAGCAAACCTAAATGACAAACTAGCCTTCATGCACGCACTTTTACAAATAAAGTAGCAAAAGTGATAGCGAAAAGAAAGCAAGGATAGGGAGAAGGTGACCTAGAGACCACCAGAGTATTAAATTGGCCACGTTGCCCTTCGTAGAGGCCTCCTTAGAATCCACTAACCTTGGTATATCGCGTAAATTAAAGAGAATTTGTGGGTTTTTCTGTAAAAGGTCCGGCCACCGGAGCCATTTATCCGATGATCTGAATACGCCAGTCCCCAAGAGCACTGAACAGAAGGAAGAAGAGGAATTATTGATTTTTTTTTTCTTTTTCTTTTTCTTCGTCGTTTCTGCAGAAGATTCAAATGAACTATTTGATCGCTTCGCTTATTTTATCTTCTTTTTTTTTCAATCCTGTTTTTCCCTCTTAATTTGTTTATATATGGCTGGTTTTCATGAAACTGACCGTGATAAAAATAAAACAAAAAAACAAAAAAAATTGAAGTAAATGGAGCAGTTGTATTGAGGAAAACGTAGAGAGACAAAGAGGGAGAAGAAGGGGTTCGTGAGTTTCTATCTTCTCTTTTCTTTTTCTTTTTTCTAATTTTTTTTTTTTTGTTTAACATATTTTTCTTTTTTGTTTTTCACAAAAGTATCTCTGCTATTTTGTTTCTATTATTTTCATATAGTTGTGGATTTTTTTTGTTTGAGGAGCTTTATGGTCTTTTTCTTTTCTTTTTTTTTTTCGTGAAGCTTTGAATCACCAAACTCTCATTCTAGCTTTCAAATATTAAAGATTGTTAATGAGCACAAAAGTATTAACCTTTCGCCTAATTGGATTATTAGTTCATGTGATAATATGATAGTTAGAAGATAGCTTAAGTTGTGAAAAAATAAGATTTAAGCTCTGGTGGTAAAATCTGTTAGGATTTATGCCTAAAACTAAAAATTTCGTCAATTTTCTGTTAATATTAGCACATGAACCGCACATATTAGGCTGAAACAGAACTCTCCATACACATATTAGGCTAAAACCGACCTTTCCGTTAATTGTTAAGGCGTGGGGCTGGTTCACGTGCTAATAATTAACATAAAGTTGACGGAATTTTCAATTTTGGGCTAAATCCTAATAGAGCTTAAATCCTAATTTTTTTTACCACATGGGCTATCTTTCAATTACCTTATTATCACGAAGATTATTAATGCAATTAAGTCTTAATTTTTCATGAACTTAGGATAGCCTTTTTAGCCAAAATAGTCAATTGGCATACCTCACTTTGATATTTAAAATTGATATAAGTGATCTCTGAAATTATCAACCTCAATATTTTTTATCATGCCGTAAAAAATCTTCATATAAGTATACATTATTACATCAGTAGATTGAAACCATTACGTGGTAGTTTAGCTATCACACCAAAAAAATTATGTCTTCCTATCCTCGTAACTTGTCACTTTGCCATAGCATTTTTTTTAGTGATGTTCGAGTCTACCTTATTATACATTTTCTCAATGATAATAGTCATCTTGCACTTCTTTCTGATTAAAATAAACCAGAACAATATTGAATAACAATTTTAGAGTGGTTATCAAAATATGAGAAAAAGAGTACATAATTGTTAATGACAATTTCTTTTTGAACTTTCAAGAATAAATATGGTCAAATATAAAGATTTCCTTCCTTTTCTTTACCTTTAAAATGTTATTTGGATGTGAGTATTCCTAAATAAAAACTTAAAAGAAGGTTTAAATAGAATGTGTTCATCATCATTATGATGTTTCCGTTAAATAATACAATCTCATACGTAAGTTTTTTTCAATATAATATTGTATTATTTAGCCAGAACATTACGTAACGATAAACCGGATTCATTCATATAGTTTCCCAATTATGAGTGTCCCAATCCAATCACTCATTCATGAAGTAGACGGATGAAAGAAAACCGAAAGGTGTTTTCGTCCACTACAACTATTACCCTCTTCAATGAGAAAATGACCATAAGCCAGACCAAATGGGACCACTTCCAACTTTCCAAGTCCCTACATCACCGGCCCAGGAATCGACACGAGTTGGGAGTATATGAGAACTTTCGGTTTTTTTGGCAAACAATTACATTGTCCCCGCAACAAAACAGAGGGTTTTTTTTTTTTTTTTTTTTTTTTAAGGGACAACAATTGGCTTGTCATGGTTATCCACCCCTTTAGGGGGTCTTCCGGAAGCCGAGAAGACTCACAGAGGCATTTCATCCTTTCCTGGTCACAAGTCTAACTTCCACACCAGCAGCGAGTTCTGAACCCGAGATCTCCAGTTTTTAGTTTGAAAGAAGTCTCGCAATTCGCCATTTACCACTGAGCCACCAACTATGCATACAAAACAGAGGTTAATTGTATTGGCCAGGCAATAGTTGCTTAAGATCTAAGTCGGTATAATTGAGATTCGGAATAAAAGTAGTTTTCCCTCTCGTTGTATCTTTTAGAAAAAGTCGGTTGTATTGTAAGAAAACAGTTATCAAATACACAAAGTTTTTCTCGTCCTTCTTTTTTCCTCAAGCTTCTGCTTTTAGGTTTTCTAATTCTTCTGTTTAGTCTTCTGCTAAGGTAGTTCAGCTTGTGAATTCTGAAGTGTCTTCTAGTCAATCTCTTAGCCCCTTGGTACAATCTGGTGACCGTGATGTTGACACTGCTGCTAGTAATGCACAGGAATCCAGTTCAAATGCTACTCTTTCCAATGCTAATTCCTTGTTACCTATCCTCCAGCCTACTCAACTTCAAGTTGTTTTGCCAAGTCTCAGTTCCTCATCTTCTTCAAGTTTCAGAAAGAGTTATTCCTCCTTCAGGCATTCAGACAAGATTGCGCACAAGAACAATCACTAGACAAGATTATTCAGCTCTCAATGCACTGTTTCCTGAAGTTTAGTCATTAACTCTTGATGATGATGATCATTTCTCATGAGCCTTCACTTTTCTTGCAGATATTGTTGATGCTTTAGAACCATCAACTTTTAGACAAGCATCTCAAATACCTCATGGAAAATGGCAATGTAGGAAGAATGTGATGCTCTTCAAACTCAAGGTACTTGGATTCTTGTCCCTTATTCTGGTGCTAAGAATGTTATAGAAAGTAAATGGGTGTATAAAATAAAGAGAAACAATGATGGTTCAGTTTCAAGATATAAAGCTTGATTAGTAGCACAAGGTTTTAGTCAAGAACAAGGGCTTGATTATACCGAAACATTTAGTCCCATTGTTCTACATACGACTGTGAGACTAATCTTGTCCTTAGCTACAACACATGTGTGGGATCTTCGACAATTGGATGTTAAGAATGCTTTCTTGCATGGTGAGTTGCAAGAAGAGGTTTATATGAAGCAACCTCAAGGGTTTATCAATCCTTTGTTTCCCATTCATGTATGTAAACTAGTGAAGTCCTTGTATGGTTTGAAGCAAGCTCCTCGGGCTTGGAATGCTAAATTCACTAGTTATTTACAAGCCATTGGTTTCCAAGTCCCTGTTCCTGATTCAAGTCTCTTTGTCAAGGTGGTTGACACTCGGGTTGTTATTCTTCTTCTATATGTGGATGATATTATCATCACTGGGTCCAATTCTCAATTAATACAATCTATGATTAATACTCTTAGTGAAGTATTTGATCTTAAAGACATGGGGAAATTGGCCTATTTTCTTGGTCTTCAAGTTACCTATAAGTCTAATGGTGATTTGTTTATCAATTAGGCTAAATATGTGAAGGATCTTCTTCACAAGGCAGGCATGGATGATTGTAAGTCCTGTTCTACACCATGTAAACCTCATAACCAAATTTTGACATTAGAAGGAACGTTGCTGCCTGATCTTACTTTATATATGAGTCTTGTTGGGGCTCTTCAGCATCTAACTTTCACACGACCTGACATAGCATTTGCTGTGAACACCGTGTGTTAGTATATGCATGCTCTTACAGATCTGCATTTGGGAATGGTTAAGATGATTTTGCGTTTTCTCAAAGGGACTATGCAATGTCGTTTAACTTACATTTCAGGAGGTTCCTTACAACTAAATGCTTATAATGATTCTAATTAGGCTGCTGATTTGAACACTAGGCGGTCTATTACTGGTTATGTAGTATTTTTGGGAGAAAATCCAATTTCCTGGCGGTCGAAGAAACAATCATCAGTTTCACATAGTTCTACAGAAGCTGAATATCGTGCATTAGCTCATACCACTGCAGATATTCCTTGGATCAGACTTCTTCTCAAGGATTTACATGAATGCTTGCCTTTTCCACCTGTTATATTCTGTGATAATCAGTCTGCTATTGCTCTCAGTTTGAATCATGTTCATCATTCTCTCATCAAACACTTGGAGACTGATTTCCATTTTGTTCGTGAATGAGTGCAAATTGGTGATTTGTCAGTTCAATACATCTGCACTATGGATCAAGTTACTGATGTCTTAACCAAAGGACTTCATGGACCCGATTTTCTATGACATTGCTTCAATCTTAAGCTCGGTTACCCAAGCTAAGATTAAAAAAAGAAGGGGGGGGGGGGGGGAGGGGGTATTGGCCATGTCAGCAATGCCACCTAGGCAATAGTTGCTTAAGATCTAAGTCGGTGTAATTAAGATGTAGTTAAAAAGTAGTTTTTCCTTCTCATTGTATTTTTTAGAAAAAGTCGGTTGTATTGTAAGAAAACAATTATCAAATACACAAAAGCTTTTCTCTTCCTTCTTCTTCCTCAAGCTTCTACTTTTAGGTTTTTTGATTCTTCATGGATTTGTAAAGCTTAATTCACAGTGTTAATAAATTGAATACTACAATCTCGTGATATTTTTCTTCGCTTGTAAGTAAGAGGTATTTAGTTCGAATCTCGTGGATGACGGATTCAAAAGCTACTTTATTCCTCTAAACGAGAATGCATATCTACAAATCTTTCATCATCATGCGCCTAAATTAATCCGGCCGTTCAGAAGTTCGAAGAAAATTGCAGTTAATTTCTCATCCACCGTCGAAAACTCTATCTACCGCCATGCAGACGACCAATTGACAAATCTGCAGCGTCCAGCAAAGCTTCCATATAAGCAAAAAGGCACCTGCCCAACAAGGACCAGGCTAACCAGAGCCTTCTCGGCAAGTTTCGGTGGATGCCTGTCCAATGGATTCAGTAATCAATTGGTTTTTCGAACTTTACAAGTGTATTTCTGATTACCACGAGGAACCCTAGAAGAATCAATGTTTCCCATTATCTTAAACACGATCACTTATAAGTGAATGATCTTAGAATTCAAAATCGGGAATAATGAGTTTGCAACCAATTTTATTCCCTATTCCGTTAATGTAAATATGTCGTTTGATCAAAAACAAAAAACAAAAAAAGACATCACCTGCACATATCAATCACACAAAAAGCTTTGAACTCTGTCTCGGTAGTTGACAATCGAAAATTAAGAGGAGCGTGTAAGAAGTAAAAATAAGTGTATTAATAGCACTACCTTGTTATTTTTATCGCAAACGTAATAATAAATGAATTATGGACACCTTGCCAATAACTACTATCTAATGCTTAATAACGAGAAACTTTTTGAAGTACCTGGCATTCAAGTTAGTACTTTAAGTGTCATAATACAAATAAAATATCAGCTTGAATATTGGATACTCAGAAAAAATCCCTCCTCAGTATAAGTTAAAGTAAGTGTAATATCATGTAAGCAAGATGCCAAGGTGATAGTAGCGCAAGACAATCATGCAATATAATGTAGGCAAGATAAAACATATGATAATGTGTGATGAACTTGAGATACGGGTTATCTTGATGACTCGGTTGCATCAAGTCCATATTTTCGATCTCATTCCATATGCCAAAATCCATCGAAAATTTCTCAAAAAATCTTCAATTATGGGTCCGGTTTTTCACACAGAAGGAATCAAATATGCTATTTCATTATAACGAAACCTAATATGACCGATCTTGTTAGCCAAGCAAATTATGATTTCCGACGGAAAACATTACGAGAATCATAAATTTCCTTAGGTTTCTTCTCCAAGTCTCAGACCCCAAATTTCAAGTTTTCTTGCAACACAAGTTTCATTCAATATGAACAAAAGACAATGTACATAGGAAGAGAAAAATAGTAAGGTCCAACAAACTTGGAACATGAACCAAAACTGAAAAACAAGAAACACTAGCTGTCAGCTCGAAGCACTCGAGAACGCCGTAGCCGCCATCACCAAAATCCAAGCAAAGAGCGTATAACAGCAGCAGGAATCCACAAGAAAAAAGGGCAAACAAAACAACCAACGCAACACCTCCTGCAAAAGCTTCAAATCAACCAAAACAAAGCCCTAAAATTGCAAAAAAGGAGGAAAACCAAAATCCTCCAAAAAGATCGACGGGCCACTTCACACTTATCAATTCCAAAATCGCACCAAAGAGCAACCACAAATCAGGGGAAACCGGTGGGAATGACCAAACTACAACTAATAGAACCAAGAGAGACAAACACATGGTAGGAGGCGGTGCAAGCACCTTGGCCGAAACTCTTACACACCTTCCAACGTGGATTGACGTTGGAGTGATCGTCCAACAAAACCATATTTTCAAGGCTTAAATGTTGGAACTTCATGTATAACGAATGACATAGCGGAATATGTCATCCGCTGCACTATTCTGTCAAAAACATTCCTACAAGGATCATCCTCCTACTTAATTAAGTATGCTAAACTGTTTTCAAGGTCGGATTGCATCTGCAAGTACAATTCTTTCGCCTTTTCTTTGTCCTTGATCAGGATCTCTTTCTTTCTTTTGGTTTATATAGGCATCCCGAACAAATAGTAATATTGTCCCGGTAACTTAGGCAAAACCACTGGATTAAAGACTTCTTCTTTCTCAACTCCCCACTCGACTCATCCCCACAAAACCAGACAACAATTTATTCATGTTTTATTTTTATCAAAAGAAGAAAATTCAGTCTAACAACTATCGACAATTAAGATCAGATCGAGCGAGGGGAACACAGAAACTATAACATGGAGAGTAATTACCTTGTTCTTACAGTACCGCGACTCGAGTCTTTGAGATGGTGACTCAGCATTGGGATCTTCATTAGGTCATTCCTGTCAAGAACCAACCGCTAGATATCCAAATAAGAAAAAATCCAAGTATATATAATCACTACAAGAAATACCTTCATTAGCTTAGCTGTTAGACAAATAAGGAATATGGTTGGAGTCCTTGTGTAATTGTATATAATATTATTCGTGTAATTGTATATAATATTATTCACTAGCCGTCCTACAGCTGTCAAGCCGTCCTACCTTGTCCTACCTACACACTAGCCGTCCTACAGCCGTCAAGTCGTCCTACAGCCGTCCTACCTTGTCCTACCTACACACTAGGACGGCTACCTTGTCCTACCTACACACTTGTATCATGTATATATATATCCTTGTAATCTTGAAGAGAAAGATAATGAAAAAAAGCATTCTCTTCCATTTTTTCCACATTCACGTATCAATAACAAATATGTTTTTTAGCCTACATACCTTTTTCTACATTAGCTACTAAGAACAAAGTAACGCGAGCTTACTTGAAGTAGATCATCATCTCCCACGGCCGCAAATGGTACAATTGTGGCCCCAAAACCTGCAGCCATTCTCGTGAATTCCGGTCCGTCAGCCAGAATAACTTGTATTCTTCACCCTGCCAATCGATCGAAACACCATATATGGGAAGCCGAAACTATAACAGATAGATAAAAATGCCAGCAAAAATGAAGTGTTTTTGTAAATTCCATTGCATACACATTTAAAACATGCATAATGCAGGATCTAAAACTATGTTTCTTAAGCCAGCTACTGAAATTAAATTGGTTTAAGATGAAAGTGCAAGGAAGGAACTTGGCACACCTTGTTATGGACTGCTTCACGTTCACTACCAGGATAAAGCAGAACATGTGATTTTGCTGCAAACAATTTGAACAGATTTTTTGCTGTGACAGGTACTGCACCCAATAGTTTAATCGCGTCAAATATGGGCGAGCTCGCGTGCTTGCCCCAAAACAGCTGTGGATGTGCTGCTCCACGAACCATTGTGTTCTTCTCTCTTTAAAGTTCAAGTGAAGAAATTATTGGTTCCAATCCCAGGGACGCTTCTATGTTGGTTCCAATTTTAAATCTCAACATGTTAACTGTGAAGCAAATGAGATTGCACACAGGCTTGCAAGGTATGGTCTTTCAGTGGAACAAGATTTGATTTGGTTTGAGGAACTTCCAGATGTAACTGCTGACTTGTTACTCGATGATAGAATTTAATTGTAATGGACGCGGGAACACTCTTTTTTCTTTCGACCGGCTTGAAATCTCCAACGAAGTTTAATCGAGCCCAAATAAAGGAAAGGATGAAATTGAAGGAAAAAAAAAATTTATCTTATTTATTTAGTAATTTTATTATTTTCGTACATTGACCTGAGTTTTTATTTTTTATTTTTTTTTGAACAATCAATATATTCTACACTAAGAGGGAGTGAGTTTAGCCTCACAATGGGCTAACAATAATGTGGTTCAATTCATCTTTGGCGAGAATCAAACCTAAGACCTTCACTTTCAAGTGAAGAAGAATATCATTAGCCGTAGTACTAATTGGCTATACTGACCCAAGTTAAGACTGAAAGATTTTATTTGTGGTCAAGCTTAGAGCCAAACCCAAATGGAACCACTCTTAAGACAATGCCTGCAAGCAACAAGCACCATAAGCAAGCACGACCACAAAATTTGCTTCTGCTTCTGCTTCTGGTCCTGGTACAGCTCACTCATTCAAAAGTCTAGCAATCGACACCGGTTCGGAATATAAAGCGCTTGCCGGGTACACTAAGGGAGCTTGCCGGGTACACTAAGGGAACTTTTGGTCTCTTGCCGGACGTTTACGTTGTCTCATGAACGGAACAGGCAAGTCCTGAACCGGAAATAGTTACACAACAGAGAAAGTAAACATAAAAGGTTTCTTAGTCAAAATGGTTCCTAAGATTTGCTTAACACATAACTTTGGTCTCTGAGATTTAAAGTCAATAGAAGTGATCCCTGAGATTGTCCACCATCTATTATTTTGGTTATTCTGTTAAAAAACTCCGTTAAGTTGAGGGTATAACATTTAACTTTTGTCCCTGAGATTTGCATAGCACATAATTTTGATCTCTAAGATTTGCATAGCACATAACTTTGGTCTATGAGATTGTCCATCATCCATCATTTTGATCATTCTATTAAAAAGCTCAGGGACCACTTAATAGAGTTTCTTAATAGAAAGACTAAAATAATGGATGATGAACATTTTCAAGGACCACTTCTATCGATTTTAAATCTCAAGGATCAAAATGATGTGTTATGAAAATTTCAATGACCATTTTGGCTAAAAACATTAATTGAAGAAGCGGGATGCTCTTACACAAACGACATCGAAATCAACCCGGATGCCAATGGCAACCAAAACAAGAAGTGAAGCATTACAATAATGAAAGAACAGTCCCAACTTGTGCAAAATTATATATACAAGGTAAACAAAGTGAACAAGAAAAACTACCAGTCAATACAACAATTTCTAAAATGCAAAATTGGGATTTCATTTCTGTAAAATCTTTCTGAAAATAGAAAACTACACGAAGGAGCAGCACGAGGTTAACGGAAAAGAAATCTGGAAATGAAGCAGAATGATACTGTCTTATTCTGTGAAACAAATTATAAAAATTCCTTTCACAATAGAATGTTCTATGGCTAGGTATCGTACCCGACAATATAAATCTACAAATCTCTCATCACCATGTGCCTAATCCGGCTCTTCAGAAGTTCGAAGAAACTTCATGTTGATTTCTCATCCAGTCGAAAACTCTATGTACTGTCACACGCAGACAACCAATTGACAAATCTGCAGCATCCGCATCAGCAACAAAGATCATGATGCTCCCTTGCCCAACAAGGACTAGGCTAACCAGAGCCTTCTCGGGAAGATTTGGGGAATGCCACTGGATTCAGCAATCAATTGGTTTTCAAACTTTACAAGTGCCACGAGCGACCCCAGAATAATCAATGTTTCTCATTATCTTAAACACAATATCACCTGCAAGTACTAATGACAAACCTTTGAGGTACAGCTCCGTCTCGGTAATTAAGTGGCACAACATTTTTAGGCCAACATCAGTTTTTAAGGAAGAGAAAAGGAGCCATGTTCTAAGACATGTCAATATTGGTTTTCTCAGGAAGATAGAAGTGTGCATTAAATTTTGAAGGCATAATAATAAATGTCTATTAGTTGCTACTGTCATTCTCGCCATCTATAGAAACATATATAGATATATACATGTATCCTATATTTATTTTTTATCCTTGTAGATCACTATATACTGCTTAATAACAGTTACCGTAAGTGAAAAGGCATTTTTTTACTACAAATTTACAAACGATCTGAATGCATCGAAAACTTGCATATTAGCGAAAACAAAGGCACCTCACCTCTGGAATCTAGCACAAAATCACCTGCCCTGAATCACCCTGTAATTGAGAACCAGATCCTCAGATTTCTTCCATATATAAGCCCGCACCGTGGCTAAGCTCATGTCTGGGGACAAGACCTGTGCATAACAAAAGGATAGGTAACAACCAATAGCAGTCACAGAACTAGTAAATTGCATATAAGTTCAACCAAGAATACATTTAGCTGCTAATCCCAAAAACAGAAAAAGCATTTACCAGTGTCTTAAACTTTTAGCAGTTATAGTTTCGTTAAATTTTTAATTGCCACAAAAGAATCCTACTAAACAGTTAAATTGCTAATTACTATGCACGTGATTATGTCCATCCAAGATGTTTGTCCACTTGCCTGATTGTTGCACAATATCTCTATAGAAGGCTTAAGCTTTTGCCATGGCTTCAATCCAGATCGGAAAGATCCATCTCCTACCGATGAAAGCTGCACGTGCCCTCCAGCAAGACCAGGAGCAAATGTTGCATCAGGATTGGCACTATCCAATGGTTTGTCAAGGACCATCTTCTCAACAACATAATTAACTACCTGCATAAAATTTCCCGTTAGTAAAGTATAATAAATAGGATAAATGTGTGCGCACGCACACATACAATAATGAGTACTTGAAGAACTTCCATCCATTCATAAGCTAACATGAAATGCAGAATTTACTTTATGGATTCGTAAAATACGAGGGGCGCTGAGTTTCCCTTGTGTGAGGATCTGGACAGTTGAACCTTCACATGGATGTAGATAAAAACTGCACCTGAAAAAATTAACAAAAGAATATTTCTTTTATAAGATAATACAAAAGGACATAATATTTCAAACATAATGCCTTCATTAGCAAATTTGTGTAATTGTTTAAAATTCAACATGCACAATGTTAGTTGCAAATTTCAGGCAAGTAATTCTTTTTTAACACATAAGCACCATAGTCTACCGAAAACTGAGAAGAGAATTTATTAATCTCGGGCACAAAGTAAAAACTTTCTACCAAAGCAAGGAAGTTACTTGGTATTTTCTCTAGGGGGTAGGCGATTATTCAACACGCAATCGAGACACCACCAGGGAAAGTCCTTCTCATCTTCAGTACCATCTAAGTCAGTGATTTTCTTCCTCCAGGGTCCTCCCTGAGAGCCCTCAGTAATAATAGAAGGAGGGGAAGTTGTAGAAAATTCGAAGGGAGGATAGACCATTGAATCATTTTCAGTATTACTATCCACCTCAATTCTTGAATGGGTAATACTTCTAGTAGTAATATCCTTTCCGGATGACACATCCCCATTAGCTGATGCTTGTGATCCAGATCTTTGCTTTCTTTTACCCAACCAATGAGCCAAGAGCCCTTTAAGAGTTTCTCGTGCTAGATTAACCTGAAGAATTACAAAAACTCATTTCAACAGATATATTTATTTTCTCAAACAATTTCGTCATGGGGGTAAAAAGAGATAAATCGGCTGACTTGGCATAACTAATAAATGGTTAAATGTCATAGTTAAGGAAAAAAAAATACAGAAACCATAGAACCCACAAAAAAGGGGACGAAAAAACATAGAATGACAGTCAAGGTTATATCTACCTTGTCATCTTCAGGTTTCCCCACAATGTTAAGGTCTGCTGAATACATCTCTGCTGAAAAGCATTGTGGGGTATCTAAATGTACGGATAAACTTCCAAGTCTGGTATCCACAGTGAACCATGCAGGAATGCTCACCTGAAGCAATAAAGAAAACACTATAAAAATCCATCAATGCTGTCAAGCTGAAATCATTGTAGACTAGGAAGCATACCATCTCAAAAAGCTCTTCTTTTTTCTCCTCAAATTTGACCTGTATGGTACACAATATAAGTACAGATGCTTATAATGTTCCTCATTATGGCATTCACCTCTAACACTATTATATAAATCTAGTTAGATAATAGAGTACAGGAAAAAAAGACTATTACCTTTCCATAATCCTCAATGACAACACCCCTCGTAATCTCCCACAACTTCACTGAATCAGCAGTGTCCTATCAAGGTCACATTGGTTCAAAATATTTAATTAAGCAATGACATACAGTTTGACAACAAAACTAGATAGTCAAAGTAAACTTTAAACAGGAGCATCATCATAATAACATATGAGAAAATCAACATGATTACCTTTGTCAAGACATGCCTTCTATTGTTTAATATTTCATGTTGCACTATTCCGGGAATTCCAGGAATCGTAAAAATAGGTTCTTTATTAACAGGGACCTGGAAAACATCCACAATAACATTAATCCCCAAAACTCAAATGTCTGATGACGTGACAAATATCAAATAAGACTGCGAAGAAAAAGGTGAATAGCTACCATGATAACTAGAGCATGGCACATGCACATGCAACAAGACATAAATTTTGAATATAAAGAACAAAGTAATACTTACTAGGGTTGATCCTTCTAATGACACCCTTGCTCTTGAAAAGGACAAATTTCCAGCCAAGAATGCACCACCTCTTTGAATTATCTTCTGGGGATTACTCCCTTCAGCGGGCCATCTATGAACTGAAGAATCTGTTGTTGCAACCCATATACTATCATCTTGTAAAGCCAACTGCAGAATGGGATGTTCCCCTGTGGAAAGCAAGAGACTCTCTCTTGTGGCCAAGTCTGTCAAGTATAACTGAGGGTATAAACAGAATTGAGTATTAAAAAAATGAGCAGAAAAACTAAACATCCAATGAGTTCTCAGAAGAGAATTTACAAGAGAACTCTACTCACAGAAAGATCTCTCCCACCACTATATACATGACTAAATGTTGGGGTACTAGCAAGTGCCCAAACAGAATCTGTATGCACAGCATAAGAATGCACACAGCGCTGCTGACCAAGATCCCATAGCCTACAAAACAGAAAGAATTTGGTGAACTATGTTCTCAATAAAATACCAACTTCCTATCACATAAACAATCATATCTTTCAACTTGCACCTAATGCTAATTGTTTCCATTGGAAGAGATGTGGGTACCAACCTGATCATTGAATCAGAAGATCCTGATAAGCAAAATCTGTAAAAATGAAATTAAAGAAAGAACACACTGTTAATGATTGTAACCAAAACAAATTGTATGAATATAGCACAGAGAACTACCCAATTAGATGAATAAATCATTCATTATCAAATCAAGGTTGTGACTTGCTTGTTCAATACATTTGCTGTATCATCTATAAAACATATTACAAACTGAACTATCAAGACCAAAAAGTTAACAGAAATCATTTTTGAAGTGCTCAACGAAGACAGCGTATGAAAAACTTATCCAGCCAACCTTCCAGTAGAATCAATCAGCAGAGCCCTGATATTATCTGTATGCCCTCTTAGTTTCATTTTCTTTGAACCTGTTCTTGGATCCCAAACACGAACAACCTAAAGGGCATCAAAATATAATTAATAGTTAATAACACTTTCTGGTAAACCTCACACACTAACTAGAAGACGAAAGTTAAAAATATTCAACCAAAAGTTGGTACACTTCTGCAGTTTATACGAAAGTTTCATGTCTTCGAGATAAAAATAATAAATTTAGGACACAGCCAACCCTAGACAACAAAATATACCTTCTCTGTTCCACCAGAGACCAGAAGCGATCCACTATCATTCATTGCCAATGCATAAACTGATTCCTTATGACCTTTGGCAGAGATTGGAACATATCCATGTGGCTGAGTTGAGTGCATGGAAATGCAGTTGCTAGAGCTGATAGTACGTAAACTTGTAATTGCATTTCCAGAACCATTGACAGCATTTGAACTATCATCTTCCATTGATTCACCTGACTTTGCAACTGGAGTAAGAGCTGCTTCAAGATCCCATACAAATACCTCCCCCCCAAGTCCACCAGAGGCAACAATATTGCTCTAAAATGCATGACACTACAAAAGGATCAGAAACTTTCTTTTTCTATATCATATTCAAGATAAAACTATACAAATACATATGGAAAGATGTCCGTCCATATTAAGTGCATAAACTATTAAAAAACAGCAGAAACATTACAATTAGAACATAAGTCCCAAACAATCATGATTAATCAAAAGAAAGAGAATGTCCCTAAAATGCCTATGCGATGCAGCCCACAAAGATGTCAAGTACCGTTTCTCTTCCAAAGACATCTACTTCACCCCTCTTATCTATAGTTTCTTTTCCTCCAAACAAGCCAAATAAGTGCAAAGACTAATCACCAAAGGGTGATCATCTGCTCATTAGCAGAATCCCCAAAAGAGTCCTCGACAGACACAGAAAATCACTATCTGGGCAGCATTACCTGCCACTCCAAACACTTGTAGGAACTTATTTGAGATTTGAGAAGTTCAAATGAATGCAGAAAGATGCAATCTAAACTATCAGCATATTCAGGTCTTCCATAAGATATGCAACGATGCCACCAAGCAGAACTCGAACTATCAGCATATAGAATGAGTGCAATGACAAGACCTATGCATTCATAAGGCAGATGAAAATTTGATGAGAAAATTACATTTTTCTCTGCGGAAGCAAGGCATGTGACATAGTCAGAATGCTGACGAAGAGTTTTGGTACAAGCTCCATCTGACATGCAATTCCACGTCTGACGTATCCATATGACAGTTGAAATATATAAAAAATACAAACGAATCAGTTACAGCCATAAAGAAAACACAAGTTACAAAACCAAAACAAAGCAAAACAAAGATCTAGGCCAACGAACCTTAAGGGTGGTATCTGAAGAACAAGAAACAAGCGTATTATAACCTACAAGAACAGCATCATTAACCTGCACAACAGAAGTGCTCTCTAAGTATAATTTTAACTTATGCATGCAGTACAGGAAAAAAAAATTTGTGCACACAACATTCTTCCATTTCGTTTTCCCTTTTAACAATTTGTATGCTGATTGGTCTAGTTTAAACACCCTACATGGAAAAGATTCCAATATAAACTGACTCCCCAACCCTGCTTTATATTAAAACAAGAAGAACAAAATCCACTCAAAATTGAAGAGTAAGGAATTCTCATCAATTTCCATGAGAAAAGAACTCTCAAAATTTAATCATCTACAGACCTTAAATGGCACGTTTTGTTTTAAATAAACAAAACTAGGTTTAAACATAGGAAGAAAATGGTTACCCAATCCACATGAGACTCAAAGGTTGCTGAACACGTAGCAGCACCTTCGGCCAGCGTCCATCTTTTTAGTGTGCCATCACGGCTTCCGGTAAACAGGTAATCACACCCAGACACTGATCCCTTAAGTACAGACAAAGAATTTATGCCGGCACAATGCTGCAGAGAGAAACAATCCAAACGTGGTTAAGCATCTATAATTTAACACTAACAAAATGTTTGATGCAAAATGCTTATGTAGGCAGATTAAACGAAAGTTACTATACGTGTTGTGCCTTTTAAGTCCAAAAGTGAGACATATACTTTAAAATATAAAAGTTTTTGTAACAAATAAAAACTTAAATACAGAACTTAAAACAGAAATCAGGAAAAAAAAATACAGAATCAATTCACCTTCGTGTCATCGGCATCACTCAACACATATGTTAATCTCTTCTCTTTACGAGGGCGAGTGGAATTGTTTGTGTTCCCTGAACTACCCACTCGGTGCATCGCATAAACAACTACAAAGAGAAGCATTAAAATTTAATAATCATAGATTAACAAATAAATGTAAACAATTAATTCCTATCCCTAAAAAGTGACCCTAATTTTAGAATATATTTGGTCCTCGCAAGTTTGTCAAACAAAAGGCGTTGTTGAAACTGTAAAGGTAAATATACCACCCGTCTTGGTTATCCACTTGAGTTTTTCAATACAACGAAGCATAACATAGGTGACATATCCAATACAGATGATGCAATAAATATGCTTTCTCGACATGTTAAGGAATATTCTGTCATGTAATCAGTTCTCAACCTATGAGGACTTATTTGATGAACTTATCAATACCTTATGCAACTGCAACTGCAATGAAAAGAAATTAATTAGACACTTAAGAGTTAACATCTATTAAAGTTGCTAATCTCCCAAAGAATGTAATTGGTATGTAGATTAGGTTTTACATGTCAAATGTAATAAATTTGACAATCCAACCTCTTCCCACTTTCTCGTGTGATATTGCCGGGAATCATTTTACTGTTTAATGTTTATTTACCAACAAAAGCATTAGCTCTTAAAAATAACAGATGAAATGGTGATACTTCTTAGCCCTATACAACTCACAGCACCAAAAAACCGCAGAACCTCAAACTCCCCGACTGCCAAAACCCGCAGTTTTTATATAATCAACGAAACACACCATAAAACACATGTATGCCAAAAAACAAAAAAAAAAAAAAAAACACCTCGAAAATAACTGCTGACTATACAGAGCAATTGCAAAATGTTCTATTCAATAGTTTTCAATACCGCCATTTCGACTAACCCAATACAACTTCGATTAGTCTCAGAATTTCCATGGAATCCGTCAATTTATCCAAAATTCCCGACTATCACTCAATTTAAGCACCAATAATCAACTCAAAAAATTGACTAAAACAGATTAACCAGGTCACCAGGCCTACTATTAACCCGAACCTCAACCAGATTAAGACCTCAAAAACACAACCAGGATTAAAAAAAAAACACAAAAACCCACTAATCATATTCGTATTTACCATTCAGATGATCAACTAAATTAATTACTATTCCAAATGCAAAGAAAACTAAAAATTAATACAAAAATTAGTGAAATTAACAAAGTGGAAAACCCTAACCTTATCAATCAGTGAAGAAATTGGAAGCTCCTTTTTTTTTTTCTGCTCGTCGTCTTCTTCTTCCTTCTTCTGCTTCCACTGAGTTGCGATTTCAGAGAGTGGAAATTTTTGGGTGCGGGTTTCGATTTTATTGTGGGCGAGTCCCTTGACTCGGTTTTTTGGGGTTCTGATCGAGGTTAATTTCGTCTTTTTGGGTGAGTATATGAATTTACGATGGGTGTGGACTTTAGATACACTTGCGGGTGTGCGGGTGGATTGGTACTCCCTTCGCTGGCAATTGGTTCGTACTGTGGGGCCTGACTGGGAAGAATACAGTTGAGTTACGAAACGGCCCCTGGGCCGATGTGGAAACGGGTTCGGACTCCGGTTATGGTAATGGGCTCGGACTCCATATATTTATGTAAATTTCCTTTTCTTCTTTTTTGATGAACATTTAAATTTCCTTTTGAATAACTTTTTTTTTTTTGAATAACTTTTTACTAAGGGAATAAATACACAAGTTTCTTAACTTTATTATGGGCTCGTTCATTTGGAAGTGTTTTTCAAACGTTTGAAAACGTTTTTGGTGAAATTGTTTTTAAAACAAATTCTTAGTAAAAATGTAAGTAAATTCTAAAAAACACTTAAAATACTTTAAAGGCCATGCAATGATTTAGTGTGTCCATTCGTTTATGATTTTTCAATTTTATTTCCATATTTTTGTAATGAAGTAGCTCATAATTTGGCTACGTTTACTTTACTTTGGGTGTCGAGATGGATTATTACAAATAGAGGAGACAGCTTTTAAGTTTCAGGCGGCTAAATGAGATCAAAATTTTAGAGGGCAAAGTAAAACAAATTATGAGTTCAGAGAGTAAAGTAACGACTTTTAAGTTACAAAGAGCAAAATGAGATTAAATCGAATTACAGATGTGTAGCTAAAAATAAGTGAACTTAGCATTGATGGATACTTTGCATTGGAAAGTATATAAAGGAATTTATATTCCTTTTGAGTGATTTTATTCTGCTTTTGTGTTGTTACTTCAGCCCTTGGTATTCCTACGTTGTTGCCATTCTTGAAAGCCGTGTGTCAAAGCTAGAAATCGTGGCAACCACGGCACACTGGAATCAAGATTGTTCAGCAGACTGTCATTTCGATCGGGTGTGCTGTTCTTCCCCACTTGAGGTCTCTCGTGGAAATTATAGGGAATGGTCTGAGTGATGAAAATCAGGTGGTCACTGCTCTCTCTATCTCTCTCTCTTACCGCTCTTGCTGAGGCTGCTGCCCCATACGGTATTGAGAGCTTTGACTCAGTGTTGAAGCCTTTGTTGGAAGGGTATTAGATCTCACCGCGGCAAGGTTTTGGCTGCCTTCTTGAAGGCAATTGGTTTCGTTATTCCCCTCGTGGATGCAATGTATGCTACTTAATATACAAAAGAAGTGATGGTTGTTTTGATTCGAGAGTTCCAGTCTCCCGGCGAAGAGATGAAGAAAACGTGTGCTTAAAGTGGTGAAACAGTTTGTGAGTACAGGAGTAGAGCCTGAGTATATAAGAAGTGATATTCCACCTGAGTAGTTCAAAAACTTCTGGGTTAGAAGGATGGCTTTGGAAAGGAGAAACTACAGGCAATTGGTGGGAAACAACTGCGGAGATAGCAAACAAAGTGGATGCTGCTGATATAGTGGGGGAGAATTGTCGAGGATCTCAAGGACGAGTGTGAATCGTATAGGAGAATAGTTATGGAGACAATCGAGAAGGTGGTTGTGAACTTTGGTGCATCTGATATTGATAGCTCGGTTGGAGGAGCTTCTCATTGACAGTGTCCTATATGCTTTCCAAGAGCAGACCAGTGACGATGTTAATGCGATGCTTAATGGATTTGGTGCAGTTGTGAATTCTCTTGGGCACCTTCCTCCGATTTGTCGTAACACTGAGTGGCGCTTGAATAACTGATGGGTGCAAAGGCAGACACAAGCTACCGATCTTATTTCGAGAACTGCTGTTGTCATGAAGCAGTGCCAGGTGGAGCAAATGATGGGTCATCTTGGCGTCTGTCTTTTACGGTATTTCCAGCACTAATGAACGAGTATCGTTTTCCAGAGCTTAATGTGCAGAATGGTGTGTTGAAATCCCCCTCTTTCTTGTTCGAGTACATTGGTGAGATGGGGAAAGACTACATCTACGCGGTGACCCCGTTGCTCGAGGATGCCCTCATGGATAGAGATATCGTTCACAGGCAAACTGCAGCTTCTGCTGTCAAGCACATGGCTCTAGGAGTAGCAGGATTGGGATGCGAGGAGGACGCATTAGTCCACTTGCTGAACTACGTCCGGCCAAACATATTCGAGACATCCCCGCACGTTATCAATGCTGTCATGGAAACGATTGAAGGGATGTGAGTGGCGTTGGGTGCTGCTCTCCGGGGGCTGTGTTCCATCCTGCTAGGAAGGTTAGAGAGGTGTACGGGAAGATTTACAATCGCTGTATATCGGAGCTCAAGATGCTGTCGTCCCGTCGAACCCATTGCTCGAGGACGAGGAGCATAATGTATATACCAGGCCCGAGCTAATGACGTTTGTATGAGCAGCTGCTGCTGTAAGTTGGGCCCCTTTTGGTTGCTGTAGTTTTTCTAAACCAGTATACGTTACTATGCTTATGTTCAATATTTCCTTTATGCTACAATGGGTGAAGTTATGAACTACAACCCGAAATTGCCAGTAACCAATTAGTTTTACGGTGGAACGTCATTTTTTGTCGCGGTATCAAAGTATGTTAACTTTTATGTGGGGCTTAACAACTTACGTGCTCTTATATTACTCAATGTGCAATGTGTAAGGTTTGAATAGTGTCATAGGTGAGGTGTTTTGTAGAAGGTGTGATACATTTAAACCTTGCATGGATTTACCTCTTATTCGTAATTTGTTGTAGGGTGAATACTCAACTTCACCTTCTAAGTCACAGTTAATTAAGAAGCAACTTGCGACCTCATTATTCTTTCATTTGATCCCATGCACTAAAAATGTGTCATCGGATGTGATATCCAATGTTATTTGAAAGCTCGTAATTTCACTATTTTGGTTTGTCCTATAAACTTTCAAATTAAACCGGTTAAGTTGGTTGGTTTGATGTCAGATTGATGATTGTTTTAACCCATTTAATTAATATAAGTAAATTCACACATCTTAAAATATTAGTGTGACTAATAACCAAAGTCAAAGTTGAGAAGCCACATCAAAACAATGTTGTAACATCGGAACAAGTGTCAAGAGAGAAAAGTTGTGAAATTTAGTAGGATGATGGAAGGAGGATAGTGGTGGAGGGAATGAGATCCAGATCCACTCCGGATCTATGTTTTCAAAGTTATTGGATCGAAAGATCTAAATTGTTTAAGAAAATGAAAAAGAGATCTAAACCGTTAAAGTTTGAATTTTTGTAATACGAGCAAGTGATCTGGGATAATGAGAGATCATATAATTGAAATTCAGTGATACCGATCTCCACAGAAACACAGAGTGCATGCCAATCCGTCGTGGAGTTGTTAAGGTTTGGTGGGGTATATGTTAACAACCGCTAAAAAATGGTTAAGGTTTGGTGGGGTGTGTGTTAACAACCACTAAAAAATAAAATTGGTGGGTAGTGAATATGGTAGAAGCAAAGCATTTAACTTTTTCCCCCTCCGCTCCACACGCTCCTCTGTCCTGTCCCCTGCCACCATCTCTGAAAACAGAAGGAAAAAAAACTGCTTTTACAATACAGTTTTAGATCTTGACCACCCAAACAGAATCTTAAAAACACATGTTTTCCTTAATGTTTTTTTTTTATTTTTTTTATTTTACTATATTTTACTGTAACAAAAACCCTCACCTGCTAACCGGGGTCGTCAGATTGTTTAATCATTGAGGTAACTTTCCTGGGTTATTGAAATCTGAATTTTTACTATTTTTCTTCCCTTTTTTAATTAAGATTATCAAATCACTGCTTGTGTTTTCTGTTTAAATACCTTTTTTCTTGTACTTGAGAAGAAGTTGGAGGAAGGAAGTGCTTTTATTTTTTAAAGTTCTTTAATTTACATCAACTTTCAGTTGTTTCTTCGTTCTTTATTTGTAAGATTGGTCCTACAAATTCTTGTACTTGACTTAAGTGCTTTCTCAGAACTCAGAAGTGCTTTTCTCTCTCTTCAAAGGGTCAGCTGTTGTTGTTGTTGTTGTTCTGTTGTGGGAAAAATGTTGATTTCAGCTGAAAGAAAATGAGCAGATCTCGTTGCTTTCTGTTAATGTGAACGAGTCCTTCCAATTATCGTCGTCTCCGATGGAATCATCTAACGGTCCAGATTCCACCGATGGGTTGCCATCGATTGACTTTTCGGATTCTCCTTCTTCTCTTCCCACCATCTGTACGGACGTCAATGTCGTCCCTGAGCACGAAAGGAATGAGCTTCAGCAGTCGATATCAAATCTTGAAGGTAAAGTTTTTGAAAATTTTCAGTTTCGAGTAAGCTCGTTAGGACGTTTTGCTTCTGGAATGGCTAAAAGCAAAAGCGCTTACGAGCAGAAGTGCTTACTTGATCTAGCAAAAGTTATAATCTTTTTCAATTGGGTTTTGCAGGAGAGATTGCACAGTTGAAGCAGAAGCAGAAGTTCTTGGATGAGAAGAGGAGAGAATCTTTGAACAAGATTATAGACATCAAAGGTAATGTTGGGTCACAATCAGATCAATCATAAATTTCTCCGAAATGTTTTTTTTATTTGTTTTTGTTTCTTTGTTTTTTTGTTTGTTTTGTTGTATCAAGTGAAGTGAGTTTTCAGGTAGTATTCGAGTGTTCTGTCGGGTCCGACCGTTCCTAGTGATCGACAGGAGAAGAATCCGGGAACCCATTTCGGCCGCATCGGAGAAGATCGCGGTCAAGACAGCTGGAACAAGAAAAGAATTTGATTTTGATAAGGTTTTTCCACAAGAAACCAGTCAAGGTTAGTGTTCGGAATTAAAGAAATGCGTGTTTTACAAGTTTGATTATTTTGCTAATTGTTTCGGTTCGTAGTGTTGAGAGTGTGAATCGCACATCAGGAAATTTAAGACTTGTATAATAGTTTAAATGATGTTCGGATTTCCGAATTCTGTAGAAAATGTGTTTGCTGAGGTGGAACCAATTCTCAGATCTGCACTTGATGGCCACAATGTGTGTATTTTTGCTCACGGCCAAACCGGCACGGGCAAGACATATACCATGGTTAGTGATCGAAACTTTGATCAAGCTTTTGTTGTTGCATTTGTGTTCGGTTGTTAGGTGCATTTTCGTTCCAAATGTGCGTAAAATGCTGAAAGTTAAATGGATATGCAGGATGGAACTAGTGAGGAGCCCGGGATAATTCCTCGAGCTCTCAAGGAGCTTTTCTGTCAAGCCTCCTTGGATAGCTCGTCCTCTATTTCCTTTTCGATGAGCATGTTGGAAGTTTACATGGGCAATCTCAGAGATCTACTGTCCCCAAAACCCGCCAACAGAACATACGAAACTGTAACAAGATGGTAAGCATTGGTTTGTTTAGTGCCCTTGGTGCTACAATTTCAGGCCATTTGTTAGACTGCTTACTTCAGTTTGGCTAACTCTACTACAGCAATCTCAACATTCAAACAGATCCGAAGGGAATGGTGGAAATTGAGGGCCTTACAGAAGTGCAAATTGTCGATTTTGCTAAAGCTAGGTGGTGGTATAATCGGGGGAGGCGAGTTAGATCAACTTCTTGGACGAATGTGAATGAGGCGTCTAGCAGGTCTCACTGGTGGGTTCCAGGTCCACTTACATTTTTCCAAATTTTTCATTGGATTATTTTGGTCGATAATTACGTTATGTTTTTAGCTTCATATATCTAGCTTAACGAGGATAACCATATTTCGGAATGGGGATGCCCTGGAAGCTAAAAGGGAAGTGGGCAAACTGTGGATGGTTGATCTTGGAGGAAGCGAACGGTTGCTTAAAACGGGGGCAACTGGACTTACACTTGATGAGGGAAGGGCCATAAACCTTTCTCTTTCCGCTTTGGGTGATGTCATTGCTGCTCTACGAAGGAAGCGAGGCCATGTGCCTTACAGGTAAGTTAGTTGGTATAAACTGTCGGCTTTAATTTCCTTATTCTCTTTTCCCTTTACTTTTTCCCATGGGGCTTCTGTGCTTTTCTCTTTGCTTACTGATTCAGCAAGAATCTGATGCACTTCAACTTTTCGGTTGCAGGAACAGCAAGCTGACACAAATCCTGAAAGACTCCTTAGGTAGATCCACATTCTTCAAATTTTGTTATGGAACTGAATTTCTTTACACATCAAGGGCTATTCGAAGTTATTTAATATGACAGTACATAAACTTCTCACTTAATATTAATCGTGTTCTCAACAATGGTAATGACCCCACGACAAATCATTACGTTTGTGCGCTCAGTTGGTATCGTGAGCAGGGTTACATGATTTTCGCACCCCCTTCATCATCTGGACTTGAAAGTGCTTAACCTTTGTTTTGTAATCCAATATGCTTTAGGTCACGGTTCGAAGGTTTTGATGCTTGTACATGTCAGCCCCTGTGAAGAAGATGTTGGGGAGACGATATGCTCTTTGAGTTTCGCCAAGAGAGCTAGAGCTATAGAGTGTAACAGGGAATTATCAGAGGTACCTCTCTCTAGTTTCTTTGTAATTTTCGGTTTTCTCAGCTGTATGTTTTCTTAACTTACAATTTTTTCAGGACTTGAAGATGCACAGGGAAAAAAGGGTGAAGGAACTCGAAGAAGACATGAGAGAAGCTGAAGAAGAGTGCCATAAAGTTAAAAATCAGATACAAAAGGTCGACTTGCTGCTACGCAAAAATATAAACCTCTTTGCAGCCACGTATGGACATTTGAAAGATGAGAAGGCCCCCATTAGTCCCAAAGAAGTTTCGAGGGAAGTTATAGAAACGCCACGAAAGCCAGAGAAAGGAAGCAGAGGGAACAACATTTCAAATTCTTTGCCTCGGTTCATGACTTCCACTGCAGCCAGTCGACAAAGGCAAAGCTCTGCGGAAAGAGATAAAGTCGGTAAGGCAAGGAGTTTGAGATCCGTGGCCAGAAGTTCAATCCAATTTACAGCTTCACAGTCAATGAGTTACTCAGACCCTCAAATGAAAGCAATTTTACAAAACTCGATTAGGAAATCACGATATGCGCAGGAAGCAGCAGATACTTTACCGGCAGAGAGCCCGAAGTGCAATGGCTCGGAATCATCCAAGATGCGAAGCAAGTTGGTCACTTCGTCCGATCCAAACTTGAGAACTATGCTTGGTCGTCATAGAAGAAGGATGTCCGATCTAATCTAACAGTTTGAGTGTGAGTAAGATTAAAGTAATGTGGTATAGCAAGAATAAGATGCGTGTTCGTGTTTTCGGGTTGTTTTCGGATTGTTTCGAGGTTCATATACTTGATAGTTTGAGTTTGTTCCTGCAAGAGTTTTGCAGCTGAGTGTCGTGTGGGGTGGTTCAAAGTTTGAACTTCAAACTTCAACTGGGATCTGTTAATTATTTGTTTACACGATCCCTTGGTAGTAAACTGATCTGATTAAGGTTGCTGATTTATGTCAAGTTAAATTGTTAACAGAATTTTGTAGCTTCTTTTGACACATTTCATCATTATTTCACAAAAAAAAGGGCCATTTAGTTAAATCTCAACCGTTCACTCGTGAAATGATCATTTCAATGATGTACGAGCGATAAAAAACTGAGACAAAATTTGAAAACCTCATACGACCTTAAAATAGTAGGGTCAAGGTCGCCCAATGAGACGAACAAATCTTACGCTTGAGAAAACACACCCCCCCCCCCACCCCACGGGGGGCCCCTGCGAATCACTAGTTATGGCCCTTCCAGAGTGATAAAAAAAGTTATAATTTGTGAATTTTCGTATCCACCACTTACGCTTGACAAACTGGTCGTATTTATTGTGTTTATATCATTTTCACGATATACTTTTATTTTATTTTAACATATCGTATTTCAGATAATTAACAAATAACCCGATAACAATTCAATTCTTTAATAAATTGACTCAAAATCTATTATTTTTGTACCATTTCCTGTCGAATTAACGGCTGTGTTACCTCCATGTAACCATGTTCCATGCGACACCGCAGGCAATGGCACGTTCCTCCCAAAGCGACATCCTCCCTAACGATACAGGTCTCCTCTCTTGGGCTTCGTGAAACGGCGTCGCTTAAGGCCGTTCCCAATCTTTCTGCAGACCTAAAATTCAGAGTCTTGAATGTATGAAGACTTCAGCGTAAAATCGAATACACGCATCCACACCACATGGCTCTGTGGTCGTCACCGTCAAATTCGTCGCCTAAGGGGATAGTGATAACGGTGCCGGCGCTGGTTCTGACGGCGTCAGTGGCCGCAGTGTTCTTCTTCTTTCTTTTGTACTCTCTCTCGTCGCCTTGCAGTTGCGGCGGCCGCGTCGCCGGTGGGGCTGCTAGTGCTAGTATTGCGCGAGTCGGCGATGTCGGTGGACCGAGTGTCGGCGTGGCGGAGGGCGGAGGAGGAGGAAAGACGATATGGTCGTCGAAGGAGGATGTGGAGTGGGTGAAGGATCAGATCCGAGTGAATGGGTTGCATATGCAGGACAACGTGTTGAGGAAGGGAATTAACCCTCGCACCAGAGCTCAGCAGCTTCAAGATCTCTTGGAGTCAGTACTCTTTCTCTCTCTCTCTCTCTCTCTCTCTCTCTCTCTCTCTCTCTCTCTTGAAGTACCTCTATAATATTATGTGCACATTTGTATGATTAGAAATAGGGACTTGGATTTGTGCAGTGGGATTGGGAATTGGGATTTCAATTGATATTGTCATGGGGTTTGGAAATTGAGAATTCAGTATTCACTCTCTCTAGAAGTACCCCTATAATATAATGTGCACATTTGTATGATTAGAATGGGGACTTGAATTTGTGCAGTGGGATTGGGAATTGGGACTTCAATTGATTTTAACATGGGATTTGGGAATTCAATTGTGAATTAGTAAACTCTATAATCTTGGATTCAAATCTGTCAACTTTAATTTTGAGTACCAGTTCATGTGATTTTTGTGCCAAGTGAGGATGTGGGGGAGATGAGATTACATCAGTAAACTTCGATTTTCATGAGATCGTGGCAATAAACTTTTATTTGTTTTGGTTATGTGGACGTGAACTCGAATTTGTTGCTTAAGTTTCTGCAATTTCTCACAATATATATTTTCGATGCTGAGTTGGGCAAGTACCTGTTGTGGTTCTGTTTGGTTTATGTAAAGCACAGGGTTAGGTTGGAGAGAAACGGAAAGGTTAAGTTTGATCATCGGCTAGATTTGTGGAACATGGAGTTAGATTAGATCATATATTTTGAAGTGGTTTGTTCTATTCCTTTTGTTTCGGTAGACGCTTCTCCGTATTATTTTTGTTGCTTGATGATTCTTTAACTGGAGTATTCTCTTACTTTGTTGGTTGGTTAGGTGATTTCTTTCTCTCCGCATGCTTTTCTCTGCCTGCAGTTATCACATATTCAAATGTTTGCAGTCAACTGAAACACCGGAAAATTATTCATTTCATGTTCTGGGAATATAGGGATGATTTTGTACAAATAGTTGACCAATAGTTTCTGAATTTTCAGGTTCAAGGGTATATCTCATTATGAAGGACCTAATTCGGAAAAGCATACTGCTCTCCCATGCCCTGGTGAGCTCCTAACTGAGGAGCACCACAGTAACTATGGCGAGCCTTGGGCGGGCGGGCGAGATGTTTTTGAGTTCCTTGCCCAGTCCTCTCATCTGAAGCCCGACTCAGTTGTCCTTGAAATTGGCTGTGGTACCCTCCGAGTCGGTTTGCATTTCATTCGCTATCTTAATCCCGGACACTTCCACTGTCTTGAAAGAGATGAGCTCTCACTAATGGCTGCCTTTAGATACGAGCTTCCTTCCCAAGGTCTTCTGCACAAGCGCCCTTTGATTGTGAAGGGCGACAACATGGACTTCAGCAGATTTGGTTCAGATGTTGTTTATGACTTGATCTATGCTAGTGCTGTGTTTCTTCATATGCCTGGTAAGCTTGTGTGGGTTGGATTAGAGAGATTGACAAATAAACTGAAACCCTATGACGGGCGAATCTTCGTGTCCCATAATATCAAATTCTGTTCGCGGTTGGGAGGAGACGAATGTACAAAGCGGCTTACAAATTTAGGCCTGGAGTATGTCCGAAAGCATACACATGACAGCTTGCTATTTAACCACTACGAAATCTGGTTCGAGTTTAGGAGGACGAAGGCTTAAAGTTGCAGAATTTATTCTTTTTTCAGTGCCTTTCGTCCTAATTTAGATACGGGATGTGGCCGGCAGATCGATTGTGAAGGAGGCTGAGGTCTGCTTTGTATTTTTGAATAGGAAAAGTGTAACTTGTAAGATTTTGATAACACTTTCTTTGAATTTATATAAGCCATTCATTCTTTCTTCAGCAGTTGCTTAATAAGTTGCATTATTCCTGGTCAACTTAAATTTTCTCTTGCAATTTCGTAGTCAGGATAATGACTTGCCTATGCCCGCTGTGCCATTGTGTCGATTCTTAACCTAGTCATGCTCGGTTGTGATGATATTTCAACTTAATAGGTGCGTTTCGTCTTAATAAGTTGCAAGTTGCAAATAACTTGCCTACGCCCGCTATATGCTGTTGTGGCGATTATTAACCTAGTCACTCTCGGTTGTGACTATATTTCAACCTAATAGGTACGTTTCTTCTAATGAGTAGCAAATTGCAAATAACTACCGATATCCACTATGCCATTATGGCGGTTCTTAACCTAGTCACGCTTGGTTGTGAGTCTTGTGACGATGCTTCAACCTATAGGTATGTTTCTTCTAATAAGTTGCAAATTGCAAATATTTACTTTTGGGGGGGCTAAATAAAAACATAGAAAGTATTAACGACGTCGTTCAAGGAAGAGGGTTTTGCATTTCCTTCCACCGTGTTCCCAAAACCCCGAATCTGCAGACTAAAACCCTAAATCGTAATCAAAGAGAAATTGAGACCAAAAAGAACAACATTTTCGAGAATGCATCGCTCTTCGCGAATCATAAGCAGCAAATTCTGCAACAAAAACTTGAACTTCCCGTCGTCTTTCTTCGGCTACCGTTACGGTGACCGCAACCTCGCTCCGTCGTTCCACCGCCCGATCTCCTCCACGACGCACCTGGATAACTCATGGATGAACAAGATCAAAGGGGTCTTCACCGGCAACAAGACCTCTCCGGAAGATGCAAAGTCCAGCTCCGATTCGTTCACGCTGCTTCGTCCGTCCCTTAATTTCAGCTTTGTTTTTCTTCTTTTTTTTTTTTTTTTTTTTTTTTAGGTTCCTGATCAGGTATCTCTGAAATTTGAATATTTTGTTTTCGAGTTTTTGTGCTTGAAGTTTCGAGCTTTTTGTAAAACCTTTTTGATATTAAGAAAGAATGTAAATTTTTTGAGCGTTGGGTTCCAGGGTTTTGTTTTAACTTCTTTACTCAGTTAAATTTTGTGTAAATTTGAGAGATTGGTTGGAAATTCATGGTTCCATTAACGATAATTATTTGTTTGTTTCTTGGGTTGATTATAGGATTTGCGGATGAGATGAAGAATGCTAGAAGAATCGGGGCGTTCAAGCAATACATTGTGGGGAGAAGCAGTGAAGCTACTTTTGCCGATGCTTTCGAGAAGCAGGAAGCGATTATTCGCTATCTCGGAGGATTTGATTCCACTGGAGAGGTTGGTTTTACCCTTTTAAGTTGATGTTTTACTTGTTATTTTTTTGCCAGATGAAATATCTGTTTGTTTCATTTGGCATTGTGTATACTTGTGTGCTTATGCTTGTAAAGTTCAAGTCTCGTAAAATAAGCCTTGTAATAGTCCAATGAGCTACAACACTATTTCCTATGTTCTTAAGAAAAAGTGCCATTTCACACAAAGGTTTGCCTCTGGTTGTTGTGGGAATCTGGATATCTCTCAGATAAACTAATCCATCCTACATAGTTTTAATGCCAATATTTGTGACTTGCATACGAGATTGCTTGCCTATCTTTTTAATCCGCTTTCCTTCTCCATATTCTTTGCCAATTTCTCTCGCTCTTTCTTTTATGGAATTGCTTTAAACTCGAGTTCTTTTTCCTCCTTAAACTGCCAATATAATCACTACAGAGAAAGGAGCTATTACGCTGAAGGAAACTTCATTATTCACAGGATGCAGTCCAAAGTATTTACTTATTGGAATTTCAAAATGATTCATATTAGGTTTATGTCTGTAGATTGTGTCTGGTTAAGTCTCTTGATTATAGTTTTAGGTCTTTTGTTTTGTAGAATCTCCAAGTTGCTCAAAAACAAGAAGCAGCAAAGCATTGTAAATGCACGATTGCTGATGTTGAGAATGCTCTTGCAAAATTCACGTGGGCTAGAGAAGCACAAAAGAAGATGGAGAATTTAAAGAAAGAAGGGAAACCAATGCCAAAGAACATTAACGAGGTATTATTTCTCAGATTTCAACCTTCGTAAAACGGATTTACCCTGCAGAAATTAGTACTTAACTTCAGAATGTCTTATAGCTTTTGCTTTCTGTGTCTTGGCTTGTTTTCTTATCTTTGGGGAGACTTTATAGCACAGTGGCATCCTTTTGGTTGGCTAAGCACAACTTCTTGTTAAGGCCAGATTTTATCTGCCCGCTTATTGGCATGTTGCAATAGCCGTGTTGAAATTGTGTGTGATTGCTCCCTTCAAGATGAATTAATAAGCTAGTGGAGGCATGCGAGTTGCTTCCATTGGATGAACTAAATTCGTATTATGTATGTGGGAGTGTATGTGTTGTAGGCACCGATGAGGAAAATGAGAGGGGTTTGGTGATTAAAGGGGAAGTTTAAATCATATTGCTTATGGAGGCCTTGGTTTGTTTAGCTACACTTTTTTCCTGTAACATCCACACAACACAAAATTCTGATAATGATTTACGACTGTAGGAAACATTGCTTTTGTAACTTGTCAAAAATGAACTGTATCACGGTTTCCCGTTTAGATTAGTGGATAGAGCAACTGATAATGACCATTAGTTATGCTTAGAAAATGAAAGTTTTATTTTTTGGATATTTCCATGAAATTGAAACATGGAAAACTCATTGCTAACTCTAAATTTCGGCTCATCAGGTGCAAAAATTGATGGGTTCAACGCCATTTGACCTTGCCAAGTCTAATTTGGCTAAGAGTGGGCAAATCAGTAGGAATGCGCTCTGTCCCTGTGGCTCCAAGAAGAGATACAAACGGTATACTTTCCGCCCTGCATTCTCTTACCAAGATTTGGGCAGTTATTTTTATTTCTCAGAAATGATAGTCTTACTTATTTGATTCATATGCATAGGTTTTAAGATTGATAATTTTATGCGTCTCTAAATTATTTGTTATGAAGGTGTTGCGGCAAGGATTGATGCATTCCAAGGATAAAAGAGCAAGGAAAGCCTTTGCTTCCGTCATGAGTATGGAGAGATGCCGAGAGCTCGAAGAATCAATTTTGCAGTTTTGGAGCCTCTGATTAATTTTGGTTAGGGTTTAGCCTTCTTGATGTTCCTTTTCTGCTTGATCAGACCAGATCGTCTCGACATTTGTTTATACAAATAATAAATTGTAGTTTGAAAGAACGGAGGCAGATGAAATTTGATTAGAAAATGCGTGGAAGTGTAATTTTTTCTACTCTTGGGCACTTGCCATTGTCAGTAGCTCGGCTTTGTTATATTATTCAAGACTTTTCAGTACACTGGTCATTTTATTTGGTTTATTCTTCGATTTTCCATGACGTTGAGAGTCCAATTGTGTTTTTCATTTGACTAGTTGATAATGATATTCTAAACTAATCTAACTTACCAAGAGAATTTGAACTAGAATGCAAGTGACCGGAGCACCCACATTACTACCTCAATCTCACCGGCATCATTGTCGGTGAAGACGTGGTTCAGGGAGTCGATCCAGAGGTGTTTGAAGAACTCCAGCCGTACTCCTGCATGCAGGTGGAGCAGGTGGAGCCGTGGAGGTGGGGGAAGAAGCTGGCGGTCGAACACCAGCTTTCTGGGCTTGTTGGACCAATCAAGTTATAGGTTACCTACTACAGCCTATTTATAGAGAACTAAGGAGTTAACATTAGCATTTGGGTTCGTTGAACTTGTTAGCAAAGTGTTACCTAGTCTGCAGACCAACGAAGGAATATTCCTATAAGATTCATGGATTGTGCTTCCGATAATCTTGTTGGCCTAAGAGTTTGATAGGCCATTACTATCCAGGTAATTTGTGCAGGTCGCATGGCTATTGACTTGGACCGTTTGCAATGAATTGAGCCCGAGGGCCTATTGATTCTAGGCTTTGAGGGCCTTTGGGCTTTGAGGGCCTTTGTAAACCGTTTGCAGTGAATTGAGCCCGAAGGCCTATTGATTCTAGGCTTTGAGGGCTTTTGTAGATAATGTGACCCTTGAGCTTACATACAGTAGTCATATTTAGTAAGTTGTACACGTGACAAACAAAATATTGATGGAAACCATAACATACCAAAACTGATAGAAACCAAGGAAGATAAATACTTTCCAGACTGAATTGATGAAGGGGCCGCGCGAACGCAGGCCCCCACAGCAACAAATTATGACGTTGGCTCTCCTACGTTGAGGAGACCATAAGCAGGCACCCCTCCTAAGTGCAATGGAGGTCACCAGCCTAGGCCATGAGTCTTCATGATCGCCCATCGACCCCGTCCAGGTAAGTACGTTACCATGTGCCTCGCGTTCCGGTTTTATACGTCGGTCTCGTCTCTACACCCCTGCGTTGCTCGATGTGGGACTGTTTGATGTCCCAGACCGAATGCTAAAACACTTCCTTGCTTTGATTTCTCAGACAAAATACAACGTATTTTAGCATTAGAGTTTGTTCTCACTTGATAAGAACCAAATAAATTCAAATTAATAAAATTGAATTATTTATTGGAAGATTTTGCCACAAACACCATCAGATAAACAACTAGCTATTATATTGCCTGGTAGTAATAAGGTAAATAATTCCATTCACCAAAATTCAATTAGTAATTAAATTAGTGCTCTGTGTTGGAAGCCGGCGGTCCAAAGATCCGGACCACTCGCTTTAAATTCTACGGACACCATTAACCCATCTCATTGGTCCACCTAACACAAATCAACAGTTTGGATCTCTTTATCTTTCTTGAATGGTCCGAATCTCTGTCCACTAGCTCAGGACTTATGACTCTGAATCTCTATTCCCCATAAAATTGAATGTCACGTCAAAGTGCTGTTAAATTATGCCCGAAATTGCTATCAATCCTAGTTGGTTTTCATCAAACAAGAATAGCTGATAAATTAATTTATTAGGAGATTAAGACTTTGTAGCAACTTTGGTTAAAAAATTTGGTAAGGCCACTATATTCTACAAACCCAATTTCAAAGTCTTTCATGATCTTTAATAATATTTGTAATTTTGTACGTATAAATTCAATCCAATACATCATCATTGACATCATAGCATAGTTGTATGTTATTTAACTTTGTCATACATTTTTAAATATTGTTGCTCATAATGTCTAGTGTTTTCTCACTTCTATCACCTCTATAACTTGTTATGCAGACCGATCTGTCCAGAATCGCTCTCCGTCCGTTCAGGCTATCCGACGCCGACGATGTCTTGTCCTTCGGAGGTGATGATCAAGTGACTCGAGTCCTCCGCGGATTCAAGACGTTGACAACCAAAGACGAGGCTTTGAATTTCATCAAGAACGTTTGCATTCCCCACCCATGGCGGCGGTCGATATGCATCGATGACCTTTCGATTGGTTTCGTGACCATATTTCCGGGATCAGGTGATGATCGGCATAAGGCAGATATGGGGTATGCCTTAGCTGCAAGGTATTGGGGCCTAGGGATAACAACAAGGGCAGTTAAGATTGCACTCTCTCAAGTTTTCAAGGACTACCCTGATTTGTTTAGGTTGCAGTCTTTTGTAGCTGTGGAGAATAAGGCCTCTCAGAGAGTTTTGGACACAGTAGGGTTTAGCGGGAGCGTGTGCTGAGAAAGTATCTCTATCTTAAGGGGGATAAAGGACATGGTTGTTTATAGTTTTTTGTCAAGTGATTTGAGTAATGATCTCTCAAGTAATGAACTAATTACCCACCCGTCGAGTAGGGACGAAAGTCGGCCTTAGGGATGCCGAGTGGAAGGGGCGTTGCTGAATGGATAAAAGTACATTAGGGATAACAAGTTGATCTTCTCCAAGAGTTCATAGACTTCTTTACTAACCAAATAATTTGCAATTTTCTTATGTAACATGGTGTTATTGGCGTCTCTAATTCGTTTTAAACTTGTAGTATATTTCCAATTTTTTTCTTATTTTGTTCTTCTTAATGTTTCGTTCATACAGTAAATTGTAATGAAATTGAGCGAGGTTGAAGAAGTTTGATTAGGAAATGCATGAATCTGCAATTTTACAATCTCTCTTTCGTATTTGGGTGGCATGACAGTAGTAGCTAGGTTAACTTAATTCCCATGACATAATGACCATAATACTGATTCTTTAGCAGGCACTTTTGTTAGAAGTACTTCTATAGAAAAATACTAAAAAAAATTATTAAAACTAATTAATTTGATGTTGAGACACCAACTGCTTTTTGGGCTTGTTGGACCAATCAGGTTATAGGTTACCTACAACGGGCTATTTATAAAGAACCAAGGAGTTAAAATTAGCGTTTGGGTTCGTTAAACTTGTTAGTAGAGTGTTACCTAGTCTGCAGATTAGCAGAGGAATATTCCTTTAAGATTCATGGATTGTGCTTTGAAGAATCTTGATGTGCTAAGAGTTTGATAGGCAAAGCCATTACGATCCATGTAATTTGTACAGGTCTCGTGACCATTGACTTGGACCGTTTGCAATGAATTGAGCTCGAGGGCCCTATTGATTCTAGGCTTTTACGGTCTTCATAAAGAATGTGGCCCATTAGCTCGTGAAGGTTTAACTGATAGAGTAATCATATTTGATAACGTGATCCCATTGATTGGGATATTTTACGTTTTCACAATAATAATGACTTTGCATTGGATTTTAGAGGGCGCTCAAAGCTTCCAACCCTACCGCCTAAAAAGTTCTAATTAAGGAGGATTAAGAGAAACCTTACCTATAAAACCAAGACAGATAAATATTTTCTAAACTGAATTGATGAAGGGGCCGCGCGAACGCAGGCCCCCACAGCAACAAATTATGACGTTGGCTCTCCTACGTTGAGGAGACCATAAGCAGGCACCCCTCCCAAGTGCAATGGAGGCCACTAGCCTAGGCCATGAGCCTTCTTGATCACCCATCGACCCCGTCCAGGTAAGTAAGTTGCAACGTGCCTCTCGTTCCTATTTTATACGTCGGTCTCGTCTCTCCACCGCTGCGTTGCTCAATGTGGGACTGTTTGATGTCTCAGACCAAATGCCAAAGCTCTTCCTTGCTTTGATTTCTCAGACCAAATACAACGCATTTTAGCATTAGAGTTTGTTCTCACTTGATAAGAACCAAATAAACTCAAATTAATAAAATTGAATAATTTATTGGAAGATTTTGCCACAAACACCAAATGATAAACAACTAGCTATTATATTGCCTGGTAGTAATAAAGTAAATAATTCCCATTCACCAAAATTCAACTAGTGATTAAACTAGTGCTCTGTGTCGGAAGCCGGCGGACTAGAGATCCGGACCACTCACTCTAAATTATACGGACACCATTAACCCATCTCACTAGTCCACCTGACACAAACCAACAGTTGGGATCTCTTTATCTCCCTTGAATGGTCCGAATCTCAGCTGGCTCCGAACTTCTGACTCTGAATTACGATTCCTCGTAAAGTTGAATGTTACGTCAAAGTGCTGTTAAATTATGCCCGAAACTGCTATCAATCCTAGTTGGTTTTCATCAAACAAGAATAGCTGATAAATTCATTTATTAGGAGATTAAGACTTTGTAGCAACTTTGGTTAAAAAATTTGGTAAGGCCACTATATTCTACAAACCCAATTTCAAAGTTTTCATGATCTTTAATAATATTTGTAATTTTGTACGTATAAATTCAATCCAATACATCATCATTGACATCATAGCATAGTTGTTTGTTATTTAACTTTGTCATACATTTTTAAATATTGTTGCTCGTAATATCTAGTGTTTTCTCATTTCTATCACCTCTGTAACTTGTTATGCAGACCGATCTGTCCAGAATCACTCTCCATCCGTTCAGGCTATCCGACGCCGACGACATATTGTCCTTCGGAGGTGATGATCAAGTGACTCGAGTCCTCCACGGATTCAAGACTTTGACAACCAAAGACGAGGCTTTGAATTTCATAAAGAACGTTTGCATTCCCCACCCATGGCGGCGGTCGATATGCATCGATGACCGTTCGATTGGTTTCGTGACCATGTTCCCGGGATCAGGTGATGATCGGCATAAGGCAGATATGGGGTATGCTTTAGCTGCAAGGTATTGGGGCCAAGGGATAACAACAAAGGCAGTTAAGATTGCACTCTCTCAAGTTTTCAAGTACTACCCTGATTTGGTTAGGTAGCAGTCTTTTGTAGCTGTGGAGAATAAGGCCTCTCAGAGAGTTTTGGACAAAGTAGGGTTTCAGCGGGAGGGTGTGCTGAGAAAGTATCTCTATCTTAAGGGAGATATAAAGTACATGGTTGTATATAGTTTTTTGTCAAGTGATTTGAGTAATGATCTCTCAAGTGATGAACTAATTACCCACCCGT